CGGGCTCCCTGCTCTGCAGGAAGCCCGCTTCTCCCTCTCCCACTCCTCCTGCTTGTGTTCCCGCTCTCGCTGTGTCTCTCTCTGTCAAATAAATAAATAAAATCTTTTTAAAAATAAAAATATGCCAGGTGCCTGGCTGGCTCAGTTGGAAGAGCATTCAACTCTTGAACTTTGAGTCATGAGTTTGAGCCCCACATTGGGCAAAGTCGGGCTCCCAGCTCAGCGGGGAGCCTGCTTCTCCCTCTGACCCTCTCCCCTCTCATGCTGTTTCTCTCTCTCTCTCTCTAATAAATAAATAAATAAATAAAAAGATGCAAGCAAAAGAAATGCATAGCATAAAAAGGAAATCTGAGAAAGATACTCCCCCAAAGAAATTACTATGAAATTTAGTGTGTATCCTTTCAGGACTGTTCAAAAAATGCTCTGAGCTTCCCATTCTCCTTGGTCTTGGGGGCTAGCAATGGGGGCAAAGTAGGGGCAGCCAGAATCACTGGGTCATGTCTCTTCGGGTCAGTGATAGACTGCTCCGTCCCTGTCCTTACTGAACAAAATTAAACAAATCCGTGTGTTTTTCGTAACATTTAACAGCCATTTCCATTTGTCTGGGCTACTGCTGCATATGTAAAGGGGAATAGTGGGAGTGCTGAACTTTAGATGGCTTGGAATTCTGGGACTAGGGCTTTAGATTTTAGGCAAGGACTTACAAACAAAGGCATTTCTTCATTCTCAATATATTGAGTTTATACTGTTTTAAATGGCTCTTAATTGTATAAGATGGCACAGAGACAAAACAAAAAAAAGAAATTTTGAAGATTTTATTTGAGATCAAGAAAGAAGAGAGAGAGAGGGAGCATGAGGGGGGCACAAGCAGAGGGACAAGCAGGCTCCACACTGAGCTGGGAGCCCGATGTGGGGCTCAGTCCCAGGATCCTGGGATCATGACCTGAACTAAAGGCAAAGCTTAACTGACTGAGCCACCCAGGCACCCCAAGACCAAATATTTTTAATTATATTTGTATTTCCAGGTCCTCAGTTTTATCTGCTATGAGATCTGTCGATAGTAAGTGAGCTTTAGTGGACTTGACTTTGTGCCTCTAGTTTTGCAGCTTTTCGTCTCTTCCATAGTTTTTTAGACATTTGTATTAATCTATAATCTCTACCATGAGCCAGGCATATGCTTTGCAGCAAAGGATATATCAATGGTAAACCCCTTAAGGACAAGGACAGGTTTAACTCATTTTTAAAATCTGCCTCTCCTAGCGCTGTCTTTCCTTGCAGGTGGTTAATGGATGTTTGTTGAGTTAAGCTCACATCCTGCCTTTTTCATACCGTTCACATGAGCCAAACTTAAGCAAAGTCTTTTTTTTTTTTTTTTCCAAAAAGGAAACTCCCATCTTTTGCCTTATGTCATGTTTCTTACTATCATGTTCCCATGACCTCTCACCTAATACGGACAAACTTTGTTCAGCTCCCTTTTCTATAGTTCCCAGGCCTTTGCTCCTGAAATGTCTAGAATATCCCTGTCCAATAGAAATATAATTCGGGCGCCTGGGTGGCTCAGTCGTTGAGTGTCTGCCTTCGGCTTAAGTCATGATCCCAGGGTCCTGGGATCGAGCCCCACACTGGGCTCCCTGCTTGGCGGGAAGCCTGCTTCTCCCTCCCCCACTCCCTCTACTTGTGTTCCCTCTCTCGCTGTCTCTGTCAAATAAATAAAATCTTAAAAAAAAAATATATATATATATAATTCAAGCCATGTATCTAATTTTAAAACTTTAGTAGCTACATTTTAAAATGTAAAAAAGAGGGGCACCTGGGTGGCTCAGTCCTTAGGCAACTGGTCATGGGCTCCCTGCTCAGCGGGGAGCCTGCTTCACCCTCTCCCTCTGCCTGATGCTCCCCCGCTCGTTCCCTGTCAAATGGATAAATAAAAAAAAATTTTTTTTAAAGATTTTATTTTTTCGACAGAGAGAGACAGCGAGAGAGGGAACACAAGCAGGGGGAGTGGGAGAGGGAGAAGCAGGCTTCCCGCTGAGCAGAGAGCCCGATGCAGGGCTCGATCCCAGGACCCTGGGATCATGACCTGAGCTGAAGGCAGACGCTTAACGACTGAGCCACCCAGGTGCCCCTGGATAAATAAAATCTTTAAAAAAATGTAAAAAGAAACAAAAAATACCATTTCGAAGAATCTAAATATGTCCACAATATCATTTCAACAATTAAAAATATTTATATTGTACATTCTTTTATTCATACTGTCTTCAAGATCCAATGTGTATTTTATACCTACAGCATGAGCTGCGTGGGGGCTAATGGCTACCTAATGGACAGCACAGGTACAGAATCTTTGAATTTTTGTGTACTCCCCATGTAAATAATTAGACAAGCCATGAAAGTATTCATCTTACCGGCTCCATCATTAGCAAAGGAGATGATAAATTCAGGTAAGAGAATTATTTGCTAAGTGACACGTTATTTAGCTTTCTGTTTCTTTTTAAGCTATTCTTGTAAGCTATTAGGATTTTTCATCTTTAGGTAAAATCCATAATTCAGAAACCATCAAGTCTTTTTCTTAATATGCTTGTAAGCGATTCTTTGCTTGTAAGCAGCTCTTGGGGGCTGGAGGGGGGGCATCATTAACCTTCCTTTTCATTTCTTCCTGTGTCACTGGTTCCCTGGGATCTCAGTGATTTTGGGATTTTCTATCTTTTCCCTCTTCTCCTTAAAATGCCATAACTTCTACAACACTGACCCTACACTGTGTTGCCCAGAAACTGGAAATATTTACACTGTTTATCTTAAATTCTTTTTTTAAAAAGATTTTATTTATTTATTTGACAGACAGAGACACAGCGAGAGCAGGAACACAAGCAGGGGGAGTGGGAGAGGGAGAGCAGGCTTCCCGCGGAGCAGGGAGCCCGATGCGGGGCTTGATCCCAGGACCCCGGGATCATGACCTGAGCCGAAGGCAGATGCTTTTTTTTTTTTTTTTAAAGATTTTATTTATTCATTTCAGACACAGAGATACAGAGAGAGAGAGCATGAGCAGGGGGAGAGGCAGAGGGAGAGGGAGAAGTGGGCTCCACGCTGAGCCAGGAGCCTGATGTGGGGCTCGATCCCAGGACCCTGGGATCATGACCTGAGCTGAAGGCAGATGCTTAACCATCTGAGCCACCCAGGCGCCCCCCGAAGGCAGATGCTTAACGACTGAGCCACTCGGGCGCCCCTGTTCATCTTAAATTCTTGTGCAAGCATTCTGGCTAGTGGAAGTGGGATTCCATTTATTAATAAGACTGACATTGCATCATCTGAGACATTTCAGAGTACAGGAGTAGGAAGTTATTTAGTTAAATACGTAAAGCCAGATTTTTTAGCTCACATCCCTAAAACCCATAGGAAACAGTGTGATTGATAAAGATGAGCAGACATCTCTTAAATAACTGATTTTTCGCCAAAAATGACAAGTTAGTGAGTAAAGCCAGATTTGGTAGGTAGGTTGAAGAACAAGAGAGGGTTGACTACCAAACCTTGGGCTCATGGGGAGAGAATCCTGTGATATGAACGTATGGAGCATGTTCTAAAACAAAATTTTGGACAGGAATTCAAGTGTGATAAACATGGTGGTCAGAAAAATCATTGGTATGTACCCTGCAGAATAGTCTCCAGAGCCAGGGAGGAGGCCTTTCAGACCAATGTAAAGCCCAGACTAGAGCTCCGAGCTCATTGTCCCCTGTATTACATCTTCCCTGCAAAAAAGTGGAACATGGACATGGGTAAAATAAGCAATAATTAGGAGCATCAAGACGTTCAAAGAAAGGGGCGCCTGGGTGGCTCAGTTGTTGAGCGTCTGCCTTCGGCTCAGGTCATGATCCCAGGGTCCTGGGATCGAGCCCCGCATTGGGCTCCCTGCTCAGCGGGAAGCCTGCTTCTCCCTCTCCCACTCTCTCTGCTTGTGTTCCCTCTCTCGCTGTGTCTCTCTCTGTCAAATAAATAAAATCTTAAAAAAAAAGAAAAGACATTCAAGGAAACTTAGCTACACTGTAAGCTTCTTCATTTAGACTATGTGGTCTTAACCCCTTTAACTAAATCAGTGCCTGGCACTGACTAGATATTGGTTGAATGAATGAATTACCTAAGAACAGTGAATTGTGGATACGTTGGCTAAGGTCTAAGTGACAGGTTAAATAAAGGAGAAAGATGTTGCAGATTGACTGGATCCTGTTGGCAGGAGCAAAGCTAGAAGCAAGAGGGAATGAATGGGAAGAAACAGGTTCTACAGCTTAAAGAACTCTTGACAAAAGCACAAATGAAGCAGTGAAGAGGCTTAAAAATAAGCAGTTTGAATTTACACTTCCTTATTGCCTACTGGGAGTGCATGTGGGCTCTGTGGGAGAAATGTGAGTGACAACATAGTACTCCAGTTATCCAGTAATCTAAGATATTACAAGTTCAAAGCTTCTGGATCTGTATGCCCAGGAAGTTATGATCCTAATGTTGTCCTGGCTAATCGGCCGTTTTCTCTACACAAAGTACATTTCCAGTTACAGCCCCTATCTTGAAGCTTTGGCATCCCCTTCTTTGTGTTAAAGTTAAATCATAACTCTAACAGCAAAAATTTTATCTTACTCCAAATAGAAAAAAAAAAAATTCATCTAAATGTTTTAAAACAAGTCTGTAAATATTGAGGTATTCACACACATCAAATAATGCAGTTGTGGATCATAAAAAAGGCTCTACTCATATAAGTGAATGGACCCAGAGCTGTGTCTAACTGGGGCTTTCTTCAAATATTCACTTGCCATTGATTCCATGAGTTGCCAAATTAGAAATAAACTTGTCCCCATTGGTACCTCATGAATTCCTTTCTTAAATATAAAGTGATTTATGACTTTCTTTAAGCTTTACTTCTAGCAGGTTCCTCAGAATCAGCTTAAATCCTGGTAAGCTCTGGATCTTCATTAATGCTAGTTCAGTTTGGGAAGTTGTTTCAGTCTTTGGATGTCTTCAGTGTAAAACCATTACTTTTAACTTTATTTTGTAAAAATCATTATCTGATTATTTTTCAAGTATACTTGGGTTAACAAAATGCAGCAGAGGGGTGTGCCTCTTAGTGGCTGAACAGACCACTTTTTACATTCCTTAGAAATAAGATATGGCTCAGTATTTTAAATCATAGCAACAGTTGATAAGAAAAACAGCAAAAAAGTAATCATTTCCATATGGAAAGAAAAGGAAGAAACCAGTGAAGCTGTGAACTGTCATTTTTCCATATAAAAATAAATCACCACTGGTAGATTTGGCAGAAGGGGCAAATGTTCCTATTTGTTTCCCATTTGACATTTGTTAATACACTGCATGTGACATGTTTTATTGAAATACACAATTACCCTCAAACTCAGTTGCCAATTTCCAAGTGTGTTTTGTTCTGAGTGAAACCCACATCTGTATGTTCAATTTCATCAAGGACGGTATTTCCTTGGTGGTAATTTTCTCAACTTTGTGAAATTTTAGTGAAAACTTACCCTTTTTACTGACAAGCATAACATCTTTCACGCTAGCTAAATACCTATAAGTAATCTGAAAGCACTAGTCGAATAAAGTCACTTTCTGCTCTTACATTTCAAGATCTAAAAGAAAAACTGACCCAATTTTCTGATGCCTAGAAAATTTTAAAAGCATTTACTTCCTTACTTTTGTACTTAAGCATGATATACATTTATTAACAAAATCTGATATTTATTTTTAAATAGCTGCTTAAAGTGGAAAATCTTACTGTTACAGAAGAAAATATTTAAAAGTTCATAATCTAGCATTTGACAATAGCTCCCTCTTGTGGTTCAAAGCATCCACTTCAATTAAATGCATAACCGCAATCTCTGTTTCAAATTGTGCTGTAAAAGTTTAGCTGGTATTTAGTGAATCCTTTTTGGAATAAAGAAGGGAAGACTTCCGGAGTCCCGAGATCAACCCCCATATCAGGCTCCCTGCTCAGTGGGATGCCTGCCTTTCCCTCTGTCCCTCCCCCATGCTCTCTCTCAAATAAATAAAGTCTTTAAAAAAAAAAAAAAGGGAAGACTTAGAAACATGGGGACAAAACAGAATATTCCCTTTTTTGGATACTTCCAGAGTTCCAACATTTCAGCAAAGTGTTTCCAAATTTTTTTATGGAAGCACCAGTTTCTTTCTTACAAATGAAAATACCAAGTAGATGTTTTCATTGAAAACATGATGTTCTCGGTTTAAAAGGTTTTCCTCCTTTTCTGTGGTCATAATATGCCAAAGGAAACAGCATTTGACTTTGTTAGTTTAACAGGTAGAGATTTGAAAACCGTACAGAGAAAGTACTATTGAAAATATTTTAGCCCAAAAATGACTTAAAGTCCTTTTTTTCCTTTGTTCGAGATCAGAGGTTGCAGTAACTGGCAACAACCTGTTCTAACAATGTGAAACTGTCCAAAAAGTCCTCTTCTTCAATTCCAAATTTTGTGTACTGATGAATGTAGGCTCTGGTGAAAGAAACAGCAAATGTAAAATAAAAAATCTCAGGCAAATGAGTAACTCTTAAAATCAAACAATAAATAGGACTTTCCTAGCTCATGAATATTTGAGGATGGCAGAATCTCTTAAATGTCTTATATTTGCTTCAATGTTAATTCCAAAGATTAGCAAACTCTGAAAGTTTATGTCAAGCTCCCTGTCTTTTTAGTGTTCAAGAGAGTGACAATAAGAAGCACATAGGAAAAAGCAGCATGTTCAGATTTGGTTATTGAACCCAGCACATATTCAACACCATACAGAGATGACTGGGTTCAGTATCAACTCTAGAAAGTGCCTGAGAATTTTTACCTAAGCCTTGAAACTGCAGAAACACATTAATCCAGTTCTAGGAATGAAGTGAAGTCTACCAAGTATTTTTCAGACAACATGTAATTTGCACTTAGGCCAGGTGGTTCTTTGAATATCTCATACCCCCAAAATGTTCTGAGGCAGGAGAAATCATGTTAAAAAGAATGTCAAGGACAGACATGGATTAAACTGAGGTAATAAGGGCTGCTGCCATTTAATGGGAAAGGGAAGAGAACAATACCAGGAAAGGACAGAGTTCACAGTCCCGGGAGTGGGAGCTTATGGAATGGCCACGTGCAGCATGGGGGGCCCTTGGGAGTCCTGACTAATCACAGTAGAGGTCTTGCCCATTGATATGGGAATTTTGCTTTGACATTAAGTAATTGTGGCCGAGGTCAGGAAATCTGATAACACATTTCTTAGCAGATGGAGTTGAACTTGCAATATTTCTTGCTGAACAAGATCAGGATCTCTTCCATTCTTTCAAGGGTCTTATTTTGGAAAACTATTTTATTGTCCCAGCCTTATAATGAAATTTCTACTTTCATTTCATTTCATCTAGAAATGACTAGTCAATAATAGGACTGTAGTAGGTAATTTTACATGATTATCACATTTAATCCTCACCACATATCCTCAGTGTAGACCCACCGTGCAGATAAGAAAATGACACCTGAAGTAACATGACCCAGTTTCATACCTACAGTGGTAGCCATGCTTACTCCAGGCTACAGGTTGAATGTTTGTGTTCCCCCGAAATTGGTACATTGAAATCCTAACCCCCAAGATGATGGTATTAGGAGGCAAGATTCGGTCACAAGGGTGGAGCCCTCATGAATGGGATCAGTGCCCTTTTAAAAGGGGCCCATGAAAGGTTCTTTGCCCCTTCGGCCATTTGAGGACACAAGGAAAAGAAACCACCTCTGAACCAGGAAGTAGGTCAACATTAGACATCAAATCTGCCGACACCTTCACCTTGGGACTTCCTAGTCTCCAGAACTCCTGAGAAATAAATTTTGTTTATAAGATACCCAGTCTGGACTATTTTTGTTACAGCAAACCAAACAGACTAAAACATTCCAAGTCCTGCCTTGTGTTTTAAGATATTATCTGCCTAAGGTTAGAAAGGTTTGTAGATTTATTTTTTACTTACTTTGAAGCAAACATATTCCAGGCTTTGCCCACAATCGTATCAAGTGGTTTTAGTAAGAACTGGCTATTGCTGACCAAAGCTGCAGACTTCTCATATTTGCTAAAGGCTCGCTGGGTTTTCCACACATTGAAAGCATTAATAGGCTCTAACCAAGAAGTATAGAGGGCTGAATCTTTAAATCCTCCTAGAGTAAAACAACACAAGCCATTGTTTACATCATAAATCATTAATTTTGGAAACAAATTAATAAACATATTTTCTTATTCATTTCACCAGAAGTCTCCTTTTGTTTTGCCTTTTAAAACTAGCTTTATGGGCGCCTGGGTGGCTCAGTCGGTTAAGCATCTGCTTTCATCTCAAGTCATGATCCCAGGGTCCTGGGATGAGTCCCGCATGAGGCTCCCTACTCAGTGGGGAGTCTGCATCTCCCTCTGCCCCTCCCCCTGCTCGTGCATGCTCTTTCTCTCTCTCTCTCTCACAAAAATAAATAAAAATCTTTAAAACTAGCTTTATATTGCTTTTGCAGAGATGATCCATATTCATTGTAAAAAAAATAATTCACACCATTCAGAAAAGTATTACGAAGAAAATTTAATGGATGAAAGACCTAAATGGGGGACAGGAAACCATCAAAATCCTAGAGAAGAACACAGGCAACAACCTCTTTGACCTTGTCCATAGCAACTTCTTAATAGATATGTCTCTGGAGGCAAGGGACACAAAAGCAAAAATGAACTATTGGGATTTTATCAAGACAAAAAGTCTGCACAGCGAAGGAAACAATCAACGAAACTAAAAGGCAACCTTCAGAATGGGAGAAGATATTTGCAAATAACATATCTGATAAAGGGTTAATACCCAAAATCTATAAAGAACTAACCAAACTCAACACCCAAAAAACAAATAATCCAGTTAAGAAATGGGCAGAAGACATGAATAGACATTTTTCCAAAGAAGACATCCAGATGGCCAACAGACACCTGAAAAGATGCTCAACATCACTCATCATCAGGGAAATACAAATCAAAACTACAATGAGATACCACCTCACACCAGTCAGAATGGCTAAAATTAACAACCCGGGAAATAACAGGTGTTGGTGAGGATGTGGAGAAAGGGGAACCCTCTTAACACTGTTGGTGGGAATGCAAACTGGTGCAGCCACTCTGGAAAACAGTATGGAAGTTCCTCAAAAAGTTAAAAATAGAGCTACCCTTGGACCTAGTAATTGCACTAGTAGGCATTTACCCAAAGGATACAAAAATACTGATTCAGAGGGACATATGCACCCCGATGTTTATAGCAGCATTATCAACAATGGCCAAATTATGGAAAGAGCCCAAATGTCCATTGACGGTGAATGGATAAAGAAGTTGTGGTAGACAGGGGCGCCTGGGTGGTTCAGTTGGTTGAGTGTCTGACTCTTGATTTCCACTTGGGTTATGATCTTGGGGTCCTGGGATTGAGCCTTGCATCAGGCTCCCCACTCAGTGGGGAGTGTGCTTGAGGATTTCTTTCCCTCTCCCTGTACCCCTCCCCCAGTTCGTGTTCTCACTCTCTCACTCACTGAAATAAAGAAATAAAATCCTAAAAAAAAAAAGAAGTTGTGGTATACATATACAATGGAATATTACTCTGCCATAAAACAGAATGAAATCTTGTCATTTCCAACAACATGAATGGAGCTAGAGTGTATTATGCTACATGAAATAAGTCAGTGAGAGAAAGACAAATACCATATGATTTTACTCATATGTGGAATTTAAGAAACAAAATGGACATAGGGGAAAAAAGAGAGGGAGGCAAACCATAAAACAGACTCTTAACTACAGAGAACAAACTGGCAGTTGCTGGAGGGAAGGTCGGCGGGGGATGGGTTAAAAGGGTGATGGGTAAAGGAGGGCACCTGTGATGCGCACTGCGTGCTGTGTGTCACTGATGAGTCACTAAATCCTACACCTGAAACTAGTATTACACTATATGTTAACTGGAATTTATTTATTTATTTTTTAAAGATTTTATTTCTTTATTTGACAGAGAGAGACACAGCGAGAGAGGGAACACAAGCAGGGGGAGTGGGAGAGGGAGAAGCAGGCTTCCCACGGAGCAGGGAGCCCCATGCGGGGCTCGATCCCAGGACCCTGGGATCATGACCTGAGCTAAAGGCAGACGCTTAACGACTGAGCCACCCAGGTGCCCCAACTAACTGGAATTTAAATAAAAACTTGAAACAAACAAACAAACAAAAATTTAAAAGTCAACTAACATCTGAAATGTTACCACCCAGAGAAGACCATGAACATTTTGCTGACCTTCTTGTGCCTGTAATTTTACAAAAACGCTGTTCCATAATCTGTTTTCATTCACCTCTTTTCCATGTCAATAAATATCACTCATAAAGTTTTATTATATGAGAATACCATAATTTAACATATTTCCTACTGTTGAGCATTTAGGTTGTTTCTGCATTTTTGTGTGAAAGATATTGTAGTGAATATCTTTGCAAGAACACCTCTCTGTATGTATGTCATTTGCTGCGGATACATTTTTGGAAGTTTGATTACTTTATATATACTCTTATTTATTCTCTTAATTTAAAATCTAAAATAAAGAATATGAAGAAAATGTTCTGAGGTGGGAGAAAGTATACCATTTGACAGACTTGAAATGATCCCTTTAAATTACCACTTTCTTATCAAAGGTGTACTACAGGAACTAGATTTGTTTTTTTCTTTCTCTTTCTTTTCTTTCTTTCTTTCTTTCTTTCTCTCTCTCTCTCTCTCTTTCTTTCTTTCTTTCAAGATTTTATTTATTTGTCAGAGGAGAGAGAAAGAGAGAGAGAGCACAAGCAGGGGGGTCAGAAGGCAGAGGGAGAAGCAGGCTCCCTGCTGAGCAAGGAGCCCAATGTGGGACTGGTTTTCTTTATATCACAGCTAGAAGCAGCCAATTTGATACTGCTAAAATTATCAAATAAGGAGTACCTGGGTGGCTCAGTTGGTTGGGCATCCGACTTGGTTTTGGCTCAGGTCGTGATCTCATGGGTCGTCGGATCAAGGCCCTTGTCAGGCTCTGCGTTCAGCAGAGTTGGCTTGAGATTCTCTCCCTCTGTCCCTCCCCCCGCTCGCGCATGCACTCTCTCTCTAAAATAAATAAATAGATCTCTAAAAAAATAAAACCATTGAATAAAGATAAGACAAACTTGGAGATTTTCCATAAAAATACAAAGCTGACAGGTTACTGCTCTTCAAACTTCCTGAAAGTTTTATATCAAAATGCTTGTCACAGAGACCACTAGTTATGCTACATGACCTATTCTCCCCTTCTTCTTTAGTAAGAGAACCCCCAAATTTTAACTGTGCTCATGGCCACTCTTGCAGCTAGGGGTAGCACAGGAGTCAGCCCCAATCAAAGGTAATATAAACACTCGTATGGTGTGCAACCCTAGGAGGAGGCAGGCGGCATGCTCATTCCTATGTGATTTGGTGGTGAAGCTCAAACACGTCTTGCACTACGAGGGGGAAGCTCTAAGGTGAGGACAATAAGAACAGCAAAGTTCAGAAGAAAGAATTAAACCTGTATCTTGTTTCAGTCACTTCTATTTTTGGTGTCTGGTCACATACTAACTGATACAACGGTTACATTTTGCTACTAAAACACAAAATTATGATTTTCCTTTCTTTAAAAATAAATTCAGGGGCTTCCCTTTTAAAAACAAAAAATGTGTTACCATGTAGATGTGCAAAATGTACATATTAATTTCATCTTAACTTCTGCTTACCCAGATCCGCACTGTGCACATCTTTCCCACGAAGGATGACCAAGTTGGCAATGGACATGTTAAAATGAAGCCCCCTGTTGAGAGACGCTTTACCCAGAGTAGGAAGTCCTGATAAAGGAGGCCGTACCTGCCAATCAATACCTACCAAAGGAAAAGAAGCAAGAGATTTTAAAAATAGCTCTGAGCAAGAAGAGAAAAACATACTACAGTATGTATATTTTACATAAATTTTTATTTGATAAGTAAAAGTTGCTTTTTCTACTAAATATTTAAAAATTCTTATCTGGTTGACCTAAAGTGATTCAAACTACTCAATCCTGAGAAAGGCATGAAATATTCTTCATAGAGTATTAAAGGATGGTGGTATATGCATACAATGGGTTTCTCCTCACCAGTAAAAAGAAACTACTGATACACATAACAAACAACGGGATAAATCTCAAAAGCATTATGCTAAGTGAAACAAGCTTGACTCAAAAAATTACATACTGTAGGATTCCATTTATAGAACATTCTGGAAAAGGCAAAACCATAGGAATGAAATTCAGATCAGTAGTTGCTAGGGGCTGGAGTGGGGGGCAGAGAGTGCCCACAAAGTATGAAGGAACTTTTTAGGATGATGGAAACACTCTATCTCAATTGTGGTGGAGGTTACACATTATAGAGGTTTGTCCAAATTCATAGAACCATACACCTAAAAAGGGTGAACCTTACTCTATACACCTGTGGGAACAAACAGAATACATACAAAAATGTTAAGGGATGTAGAAACACAAAACAAAAATAGGATTGAAAACTGACCAATCATGTAGAAATATTAAGAAAATACTTTTTTTAAAAGATTTTATTTATGTATTTGACAGAGAGAGACACAGTGAGAGAGGGAACACAAGCAGGGGCAGAGGGAGAGGGAGAAGCAGGCTTCCCACTGAGCAGGGAGCCTGATGTGGGGCTCGATCCCAGGACCCTGGGATCATGACCTGAGCCGAAGGCAGACGCTTAACGACTGAGCTGCCCAGGTGCCCCAAGAAATACTCTTTTTTTTTTTTTTAGGCTTTTAAATTTTTTATTTTAAGAAAATAAACAGCCAGGAATAGTTTATTTGAAAATACTCTTAATATATACAATGGAATATTACTCAGCTATCAGAAAGGATGAGTACTTACCATTTACATTGTCATGCATGGAACTGGAGGGTATTATGCTGAGTGAAATAAGTCAAGCAGAGAAAGACAATTATCTTATGGTTTCACTCATATGTGGAACATAAGGAATAGTGTGGAGGACCGTAGGGAAAGGGAGGGAAAACTGAATGGGAAGAAATCAGAGAGGGAGACAAACCATGAGAGACTCTGGACTCTGGGGAACAAACAGTTGCTGCAGGGAGGCAGGTGAGGGAATGGGGCAAGTGGGTGAACGATGGACATTAAGGAGGGCACGTGATAGGATGAGCACTGGGTGTTAGACGCAACTGATGAGTTGTTGAACACTACATCTGTAACTAACGATGTACTATGTGTTGGCTAATTGAATTTAAGTTAAAAAAAAAGAAAATACTCTTAAAGTATACATAGGATAGGGATAAAATTCAGCACACAGCAACAGATCGATTTTCAACAAAAATAGAAACAAGAAACCAAAAATTTTGGCATGCTGAACTCAATAATAAGACAAGCCAATTTAAAAATCAGAAAGATGTTTGAACAGAAATTCCACCGAAGAAGATAAACAAATCTAGCAAGCACATGAAAAGATGCTCAACATCACAGTCATTAGGAAAATGCAAACTGAAACCACAAGGAGACCCTACTTAACACCTATTAGAATGGCTATAATCAAAACGACTAACAACGGCAGATGTTGGCAAGGATGTGGAAAAACTGAAACCCTCTTAAACTGTGGGAATGTAAAATGGTGCAGCCACTTTGGAAAAAGCATAGCAATTTTACAAAACACAGACTTATCCTTTAACCCAGCAATGCCACTTATAGGTATATAATCAAGAGACTGGGGGCGCCTGGGTGGCTCAGTCATTAAGCGTCTGCCTTCGGCTTAGGTCATGATCCCAGGGTCCTGGGATCAAGCCCCGCATCGGGCTCCCTCCTTCATGGGAGGCCTGCTTCTCCCTCTCTCTCTGCCTGCTGATCCCCCTGCTTTTTTTTTGCTCTCTCTCTGCCAAATAGATGGAATCTTGAAAAACAAACAAATACAGCTTTTACAGTAGGTCATAAATTTTTAAATATCTCTACTGAGGTGTGATTTATATACTATATGCTTCACCTATGATAAGAGTATAATTCGGTGATGTTTTTAGTAAATTTGCAGAGTTATGCAACCATTATCACAAGCCAGTTTTTTTTTTTTAAGATTGATTTTATTTATTTATTTGAGAGAGAGAGAGCACAAGCAGGAGGAATGGCAGAGAGAGAGGAAAAAGTAGGGTCCTGCTCAGCAGGAACACTTAACAGACTGAGTCCCCAGGCCCCCCTAAAAGCTGTATTTGTTAGATAATTCATCACTCTATATTACCTAGAAATAAAAGGTAATCAACATTATGTAAAAGGTTCAAAAATAAACAAATAAAAGTTTCAAAAAGAAAAAAGAAATGAAGCCTTCCAAAGTTAGGCCCTTGAAAAACTAACATATAAAAAATGAAAACGGGGGGCGCCTGGGTGGCTGAGACGGTTAAGCGTCTGCCTTCGGCTTAGGTCATGATCCCGGGGTTCTGGGATCGAGCCCCGCATCGGGCTCCCTGCTGGGCAGGGAGTCTGTTTCTCCCTTTCCCTCTGCTGTTCCCCCTGCTTGTGCTCTCTCTCTCTCTGTCAAAAATAAATAAAATCTTTAAAAAAAAAAAAATGAAAAGGGAAAAGTTAAGCAAATAAAACTTAAAATGGGAAGAGAAGTAACGAAAAAGGCATTATCAGAAATAAAAATAAGCCCCAGATGGGTTAAAACTTAAATATTAAACATAAAACTATAAAGATACTGGGGAATACTAAAGAATATTTTATATCTGAGGCAAGGCTCAGAATCTATAAAATAGGAAGATATATGGCTCACATAAAAATGGAAAACCTCCATATGGTAAAAAATACGATAAAAAAGACAAAAATGATGGAGAGAAATATTTGCAACCCATGTAACAAAAAAGGGATACAAATCTACAATGTTGTATTTCCTTCCATCTAAGACACCACTGATGATAAGAGAAAAAAATGTTGTCAAATTATGTCAATTAAATGATTCATTTAGATCATTAAATTTTATACTTATTGAAAGAGTTCTTTTAGAGTAAATTAGTTTTAGATTTTTAAAAATCATATCATTCTCGAGCATCCATAAAAAATTACATGTAACAAAATTAATTGGTTAAGGATTTCCTAAAGTGTTTTCACAGTGACTTTCTCGCTTTTTGACTCAGCGTTAATGATGCCAATGTTTTTTCACACATTATTGTCCTCTGTCTCTGCACAGCACTGGTGATGCAGCATTCTTTAAGGGAATACATGAAAGACTCAGTCACTGGCTCCTAAACTAGCTTTGCTATCACGTAGAGAACCATCTGTGTTTGACTCCCGAGTAAGGAATGTTGCTAAACTTGTCTGTTTAGCATGATGACTGCCTCTTCCCTACCCCAGCATGAAACTGAAGGTCTACTTTCTGGAGAGGGTATGATTGAGGGTCTCTGGTCTGGAGAGCACAAGGCAGACTTATGGATAAGGTAAACCAGAGAGATCTAGTAAAACCCAAAAAAATCACCCCTCCCCTCCTCTTTCCCCAGATCACTGGGGCTTTGCCTAACCCTTCACAGCAGAATATTCCACCCAGGAGACAGGCAAAGAGAATATCCAGGGTGACAAGTGTCCTCTGGTTGTTGAGGGCAAAAAGTCTCGATTGAAGCAGGACAGATAGCTTTAGGAGAGGTTTCTTTTTCTTTTCTTTTTTTTAAAGATTTTATTTATTGGACAGAGACACAGTGAGAGAGGGAACACAAGCAGGGGGAGAGGGAGAGGGAGAAGCAGGCTTCCCGTGGAGCAGGGAGCACGATGCGGGGCTCGATCCCAGGACCCTGGGATCATGACCTGAGCTGAAGGCAGACACCCAACGACTGAGCCACCCAGGCGCCCCATCTTTTTCTTTTCTTTCCTTTTCTTTTCTTTCTCTTCCTTTCTTTCCCTCCGTCCCTTCCTTTTAAAAAGAGGTATTTATTTCTTTATTTTTTTTAAAGATTTTATTTATTTATTTGAGAGAGAGAATGAGAGAGAGAGAAAGCATGAGAGGGGGGAGGGTCAGAGGGAGAAGCAGACTCCCCGCTGAGCAGGGAGCCCGATGCGGGACTCGATCCTGGGACTCCAGGATCATGACCTGAGCCGAAGGCAGTTGCTCAACCGACTGAGCCACCCAGGTGCCCCAAGAGGTATTTATTTTTAGAGAGAATGTGAGTGAGGGTGGGAGGGGCAAAGGTAAAGAATCTCAAGCAGACTCCCCGCTGTGCATGGAGCCCAATTTGGGGCTAGATCTCATGACCCTGACATCTGAGCCGAAATCAAGAGTTGGATGCTTAACCGACTGAACCACCCAGGCACCCCAAGCAGTCAACTCTTGAATTTGGGGTTTTGATATCAAGCCCCGTGTTGCGGGTATAGTTTACTTAAAATAAAATAAATAAAAATAAATAAAATTATAATTTAGCTTGGTTCAGAGAGCCAAGCCAAAAGCCATGAAAAATTATTCGTAGGCCTTACATTGTAATCAAGAAACTGCCAGGATGTGCCCTGCTGAATTAAGGGCCACTGACTCCTATGTGCCTTCTATTTCCCCCTTTCTAAGGAGGCTGTCTACAAGTTATGCTATGCCTGTCTTACCATTTTCTACTGATCAGGGGGTGGGGGGGAAGTAACTGTACTCAAAGAGCTATAGTCAAACAAACAAAAACAAAAACAAAAAACCCAAAAAACAAAGAGCTATACTCAAAAAATCTCACCTGAGGAGTGTAAATCCATACCTGGACCTGCTTTTAGATGACAAGATTCTGGAATTTAGCCTAATTGCTAAAGGGCTTTGGGAGGGGTTAAGTCCATTCTGCATTATGGGAAGACATGATTCAGTAGGAGACAGAGGGCAGAGAGTGGTAGCCAGCCTCTAAGATGAACCCCTGTGATCCTTCCCTCCTGGTTCTGAGGCCCTTGTGTGGTCCCCTGTCACATGGCATAGGGCTTAATAACCTTAATAACCAGAAAGATGATGTAGAAATGATGGTGTGTGGGTATTTCTGGCTGGCTCAGTCTGTACAGCATGTGACCCTTAATCTCGGGGTTGTGAGCCCCATATTGGGTGTAGAGATTACTTAAATAAAATTAAAACTAAAAAAAAAAAACAAACGGTGTATGAATTCCAAAGCTAGGTCATAAAAGACATTGTAAGTTCCGCCTAGCTCCCTCTGGTATCACTCATTTCTTCCATTGCTAGGACATGTGGAAACAGATACATGGCTGAAGGTGATATGAACAGGGTCAATCTTCATATGGAGCAGTCTGATAATATATGAAGATTTTTTTTTTTAAGATTTTATTTATTTGAGAGAGAGAATGAGATAGAGAGAGAGCATGAGAGGGGGGAGGGTCCGAGGGAGAAGCAGACTCCCCGCTGAGCAGGGAGCCCGATGCGGGACTCGATCCCAGGACTCCAGGATCATTACCTGAGCTGAAGGCAGTCGCTTAACCAACTGAGCCACCCAGGCGCCCTATGAAGATTTTTTTTAAAGATTTTATTTATTCATTTGAGAGAGAGAGAGAGAGAGAGAGAGAGAGTGTGAGAAAGCACAAGCAGGGGGAGTGGCAGGCAGAGGGAGAAGGAGAAGCAGGCTCCTCGCTGAGCTGCGAGCCTGACATGGGGTTTGATCCCAGGCCAGGACCTGGAGGTCATGCCCTGAGCCAAAGGCAGACACTTAACCATCTGAGCCACCCAGACACGTGCATATATATATATATATATACACACATATATATGAAGATTTTTAAAGCTATTTGTCTCAACCTGGTGACATAAATATATTTATTCATATATACTCATATATATGAAAATATTTATATGTTCAAAGCTGTATCTATTACTGTGAAAAAATGTTGACACTCAAGATTCTGCATGGGAAAATGACTAAGCAAACTGTGGTTTATTGACCTAAGAGAGCTAAGAGCAGCACGTCTTATACTATATCCTGAGGAACACTGTGTTCCTTGAGATGTTAACAGGTATTACTAGAAAAACAGGTACTGAGGCCAAAACATTTGGTAAGCATTCCTTTAAGATGTAACCTTTCTATTTATCTCCAGATCTCAGGAACTATGATCTACAATCCATAAGGTATCACTGGTACGTAAATGTAGAGGAAATCCATCCACTTTCATAGTATTGAAACCTGTCATTGTTATTTGTGATAAAATATATGCTGCTCAAATAATCACTAATAGTAGTGATTTCCAGTTAAACATGACAGACTGAACATACCAGTCTACTGTCCCTCTCTCCCAAAATCTCACTAACAAGACAATCACAGGGACATTTTTAAAAGGCATAAACAAGAAAACAGGGAAGGGAAGAGAAGATCATGGGAACACCACTTTGGAAGCTGGCAAGCCAATGAACCAGGGGTGGCTGACTTAGCAACCAGGGAAAGCTGATACTTCTGCCCCCAGCAGAGGTCCTGGAAACAGACCAGGACTTCTGAAAGAGGGGAAAACGAGAGCATTAGTTAAAAACCTGAGCGCGGCGTGGGGAGAGCCTGAGATGTTCTCACTCCCGGCAGCAGAGGGTGTGCCCCGCTTTGCCCTAGAAGCTGTCTGCTCAGGAAAGGCTAACCCAGGGAGGCTCGGGCCGCCACGCTGGGCCCTGCGTTCCAGGCTCGAAAGATACAGCAGTAAACAAAACAGAGAGAAATCTCTGCCCTTCTAAAGCTTACATTCTCCTGAAATAATGGAGGATCCACACTAAGGAATTCCAGAATGTTAGAGACAAAGAGGAAATCCTAAAAGATTCAAGAGAGAACAAAACAGGATTAAGAATCAGATTGACGTGGGACTTCACAGCACCACTGGAAGCTGGAAGGTAACAGAACAATGCCTTCAAAATTCTGAGCAAAAATGACTCCCCACCCTCAGATCCTATACCTGAGCAAACTATCAATCAAATGTAAGGGCAGAATAATGACATTTATATAGCTTTAAATTTTTTTTTTTTTTACCTTCCCTTTACTTTTTTTTCAAAAGCCCCTGGAAGGGGCGGTCTATAAATATGAGGAAAAAAACAAAAAAAAAAAAAAAAAAAAAAGGAAGATGTGAAATCTAGGAAATCAGATAGAACACAGAATGAGGCAGAGATGTCGGTGCTGGCTGCTCGTCAAGCCGAGAGCAACCAGGGCAGCAACAAGAGAATGAGGTCTCCAAAAGGGACATTTCCAAGCAGACAGTGAAAGTAAGAGAAACCCATCAGGTATGATGGGTTTGAACATGTGGAGAAGGGATCCATTTTTATGGAAAAATTTAGGGATAGATGAGTGATAGGCACACAGAATACTGACCAAGTAAGTATAATTTTTGTAAAGTAGTCTCTACACCCAGTGTGGGGTTCGAACATGAGTTGCATGCTCTACCGACTGAGCCAGACAAGTAAGTGTCTTACACCCCAAATAAGTGTAATTATCCACCAGAGGAAGAAAAAATTAACTGTACACGAAATAAGATTTAATCTATGTATACAGTATGTGGCTCAACTGTAAATAATATCTACCTATCAAAAGTAATATAAACACTGAAAACTAATTCAAAAGTATGTTATAACCATAAAATATAAAATAAGTAACAGTATAAGCAAGATACTTAGAATTATGGAGGGGAATTCCAGAAAAAAACAGCTAAAAACATGGGGGCGACTGGGTGGCTCAGGCGTTAAGCGTCTGCTTTCGGCTCAGGTCATGGTCCCAGGGTCCTGGGATTGAGCCCCGCGTCGGGCTCCCTGCTCAGCGGGAAGCCTGCTTCTCCCTCTCCCACTCCCCCTGCTTGTGTTCCCTCTCTCGCTGTCAAATAAATAAAATCTTTAAAAAAAAAAACAAAACAGCTAAAAACATTGAAAGTGTTTCATCGGGGCAGGGGGAGGTGCAGGACAGGGAACTGCTCTTTTCCTTGTTATAAATTCCTAGTGGACAATTACTTGGCTTAAAAAAAAAAAAAAAACCTGAGATATAACTTACATACAATGCAATGTATGGATAGAAGTATACACTTAGATGAATTTTGACTATTTGCTTTTTTTTTTTTCTTAGGATTCATTAACATTTAATGGACAGGCAGAACATGCTCTACAGAACCTGGATAAACTGAAGAAGGCTTAATATCAGCAGGTTTGACTATTTGATTTTTTTAAAAACTATGTGCATATATCACTCTGATAAAAATAAAATGAAATAGCAGCAGCTGGTGTGCGACTCTTGATCTCGGGTTAGTGACTTTGAGTCCCACGCTGGGTGTAGAGATTACTAAAAATAAATAAATAAATAAATAACCTTAAAAAAAAAAATAAATGTCACGCTCCTCTGAAATTTTTTTTCATTTTTGGGAAATGAAACTGTGAAGTGATTAAGGAACCCTCCTGGGATGTCCTGGTGAGTTTCTCTAGGAGCCTCCCTGACCAGAAGAAGGTACCATTATTTCAACTGGCCAAGCAAGTTTAAATTGAGAATTCTAGTACAGGCACTTTTCCCAGCTTGTGGCCTAAATATTTTTAAAATACCCTTTACCTTCTTCCATTTTTGAATTAGAAATGAGCATCTGTCTCAGATGTTTGAGGAGGCCAGCCCAAGTAAATGTGCTGTATGCCAGTGAGTTCTCAGACATTTGAGGAATGTTACGAATACCCAGCATCTTGAATTCAGGATGGGGAACTAAATTCTCCATTAAGTCTCCTGTAAAGAAAAAAAAAAATCTGAACTAAACTTTTAAATTCCATTACGTTTCCATTGGCCCATACACAACTGTGGTTTGATGGTTTTAGGGGCCAAACATGTTTTCTCCTCCAAGGCCAGAATTGCTTAAATTTAAAAACATAAATAGAAAAATAGAATTTCAGAGACAATGTCTATTTCAGATCACATATTTTGGCACCTATTTTAGCACGAGTGAGAAAAGACACTTTGCCAAAAAGGAAACAAGAATTTAGAAGCTAAGAAACTGGAAACATGAATGAAATATTTAGCTATACCCCAGGAAAATAAAGTAAGCATGAGAGCAGCTATGCTTTTATCATCATTTTATATTCACTAAACATTCCTTTAAAAATTTTCGTGATCTGTTATTTATTTTACCTAGTTAAATGGTAATCAGAACCTTTTAAATCAAACTCTACTAGGAAAAAAAGACAAGATCAGTGATTCCTGAAGACAGGAATATGCCTATCTTTAGAAACTTGTATTTGTAATGAAACAGGATTATGGAGAAAGGCTAATTTGTTTTGCATTCAGAGCTGTTTTGTATATTTATAGAAAAAACTAGAGGAGAGAGAAAAATATATTACTATAACAGCATGAAATGTAAATTTTATAACAGTACAAACCCATATCGTATGTCCTGAGGAAAAGAACAGATTTTGACACAAACGTCTACGAAGTGCTGCACAAATTGATCTTATGGCTAATGGAGTTTCCTCTAAACATAAAAACCCTTTTCTGCAAAATACCTAGAGCTGAATTCTATTGCACAGCATAAATAAACAAATAACAGTCAATAGACATAGCCTGAGCACTAATACAGGAATTATTGTCACAGTCTACTTTTCCCTCCAGCCTTCTTGTTCATCCACTCTCATTTTAACCATTCTGGGACCTGTTGAAACCCTATTTTGGACTGAAGGTTTGTTCCCCCCTCAAATTTGTACACTGAAATCCTAACCCCCGAGGTGATGGTATGGTAAGGGTGGAGCCCTCCTGAATGGGATTAGTGTCCTTATAAAAGGGGCCCTACCAAGCTCTCTAGCCCTTCCTGCTGTGTGAGGACATGGTGAGAAGGCAGCCATCTGAGAACCAGGAAGCAGGCCCTGACCAGACACTACTACTGGTGCCTCGCTCTTGGACTTCCCAGCCTCCAGAACCACGAGAAATAAATTTCTGTTGTTTACAAGTCACCTAGTATACAGCACTTTTGTTATAGCAGCCTAAATGGACTAAGACTAACTAACCCATGGACTTCCTGACTTCTCAGTCCATTAGTCTTCCCCTTGCTTCACTTCTCTCCAAACCAGCTACTTGCCCTTTTCTCTTCATCAGATCTTTCTAGTAAAAACCCAGTCTTAGACTATCCTCCTCACGTTCTCTGTGCCTGTCAGAGCACAGCTGTAGCAAGTCGCCCCATCTCACAGATGGGACCCCACAGAATTTAGATGCCAAACTGCTGCCCACTAATGCTGATGCTTTGTCGTAAAGATGCCATCTCCTCAAACACTTGAGTGGAACCATGTGGATATCTGAGGTCATCTAGTGCAGAGACTCTGGAACATGGCAGTCATACCTGAGAAACGGCATGGAGGCCAATGTGGCTGGAAGAGAGTGAGTAGCAGGATATAAGGTCAACAAAGCAGTGGGACACCAGACAGAGCAAAGCCTTACATGTGACTCCAAGGACTTTGGCTTTAACTCTGGGTGAGATGGGAAACCTCTTGAAGGTTCTCAGTAGGAGAGTAACAGGATCTAACAGGATTTAACCTTTTAGACGAGTAAAGTCAGAGTTCAGTCTGGCTGCTATACTTAAGGAAAGGCTGTGGGTTGGCAAAGGTTGAAGTGGGAAGACCAGGTTAGCTGCCCTCCAGCCAACTCCTCACATGACATTTCTATTACGATATGGCAAAAGCACCTCACACTCAACACATCTAAGATCCACCTCTTTCCTTGCCCTGTACTGTGACCCACAAACCACATCCTTTTTCAGCGTTCCCAGCGCTAGTGAACAGCACTACAATTTATACTGTTATGCAAACCAGGGCCTCATGAATTCTGCTCAATACCTCCCTTTCTGTCATTTTCCAGATCCAATCCATCACCTAGTCCTGTGCACTTTACCCCACCCCCAATTGCTTTCAAATCCATCCTCATTAGCTCCATTTGTTTAGTCCCCTTTAGCAAGGACCTATTATATGAGAGGCACTGTTCTGAGGACAGGGGACATGGTGGTGAGCAAGGCCTTGCCTTCACAGAGCCTCTATTCGGGTGGTTAGAAACAAAGAATAAAAATGGTAATAAGTGAACAAAAACAATGTCAGAGAGTGATAAGTGCTGGGAAGAGAACAAATGGGATGATATTATAGACACTCACTCCTCAAATAGGATCATCATGGAAGGCCATTTTAAGGAGGTAACAGCGACCTGAGACTGGGAAGATGAATGGGAAATGGCCAGGAGAATATTCCTGATAGAGGGAATAGGAAGTTGATGAGGACAGCAAGAACAGACCTCCTGGTGAGAATGAGCTGGGCTGTATGATGAGTACAGAGGCCCCCGAGGCTGTGCCCCTGAACGGGAAGAATGGCAGCAAAGAAGGGAACCTGGAAGACAGAAGCTGGATCACATACAATTGAGGCAACGGTAGACTTCACTGTAAGAAAGCTGGACCTAAGATTTTAGAATCTTTTTTTTTTTTCCCTGTAGGCTCCATGGAGCCCTGGACCTAAGATTTTAAAACTGAGCAACTGAGGGAGTGAGAAAGAAACAAGCTTCTGGGAGAAAGCTGTTTCTGACACATTATGTTTGGGATGTCGGTGAAATGTGTACATACAGATGTCATACATGAAGGCTTCTGGACATAGAAATCTGGAGCTAAGGGAATTGGTCAGAGTTGGAGATAAACCAGCAGGCTGGAGAATACAGATGGTGTTTAGAGCCATGAAAGTGGGCCAGTTATCAGGGAGAGGGTCCAAGACCAGCATTTAGAGCTTGGGAGAGGAGCCAAAAGAGGAGAAAAGAAGGAAATAAAAGGAGTAGTCACTGAGATAGAAGGAAAATCAGGAGAGGGCTGTCACAAAAGACAAAGAGAAGATTTGGAAGACCAAAGGTCAGCCATGCCAAATTCTACTGACAGGTTGATGGAAACGAGCAAATTGTCCACTGAATTTGGCAATGTGGACATACTTGTGACTTGTAAAAAGCAATTTCAGAAAAGTGGGGGGTGGATAAACTAGAGCAGAGTGGGCTGAAGAGTAAAGAGATGAAGAGGAGTGGAGGACAACAAGGGCAGACACCCTTGCGTTGTTCTAAAGAGTAACAGAGAAATAGGTTCAGTCACTAGAGGTGAGGTCAAAGGAGGGTATTTTCAGTGTGAGAGATGCAGAGAGTTGTTAATGGCAGTAATCCAGGAAAGAGGCATGGAGGACAAGAGATGAGTGAGGAATTAAGTCCCTGAGAAAGGAGAGGAATTGGGACCCAGAAGCCAAGTGAGAGATCGGCCTTTGATAGGAGCAGGACACTTCTCCCACTGTAATACCAGGTGAAGTGCAAAGGTGAGTCCAGACAGTACAGTAAGGTTTGCAAACGTGGTGGGGGAGTCAAGAGAGCTCCTGTGTGACTAAGTGCCTTTATTTTCTCAGTGAGGTCCAGTGAGGTCCAGTGAGGAATCACTAGACAAGCCTGCAGACTCAACCTCCAATCAGCTATCCATAGGCAGTCCAGTGGATTTTTCAAAAGTAAAAGTGATTATGTCACTAACCTGCTTAAAATTGTTCAGCAGTTTTCCCTGTTTCTTTGGGTGATGAGGAAGGCCTCTAAACAACTTACAAGGACCTGCAAGTCCTGCCCCTGCTCACCACGTTAACCTCAGGTTTCAGGCTGCCCCCACCCCATTCTCTGCACTCCAGTGCCACTGGATTTCTCTCTTTTGATGTGCCACGCTTCCCTCTGCTGCAAGGCCTTTGCTCGTGCTATTCCCTCTGCACGTGCTACTATCTCCTCCCTCCGTTGGCTAAGTCATGTCCAAGTCCTTATCCAGCTCTCGGCTCAAGTGTTATTTCCTCAGGGCAGCCTTCTCTGCCCCTGCAGCCTAAGTCTGATTCCTTCGTGATACATTCTCCTGAAACTGTACTTCGTTCCTTCAGAGCACTTCAGTTTTGTTTTTGTTTTTAAGATTTTATTTATTTATTTGACAGAGAGAGACACAGTGAGAGAGGGAACACAAGCAGGGGGAGTGGGAGAGGGAGAAGCAGGCTTCCCGCGGAGCAGGGAGCCCGATGTGGGGCTCGATCCCAGGACCCTGGGATCATGACCTGAGCCAAAGGCAGACGCTCAATGACTGAGCCACCCAGGCGCCCCACTCAGTTTTTAATTATATGTTCTTGGTGTAATTTATTTGTTTAATGTCTCTCCTTCCCATTTCACAGTGAACACAATGTCTGCATTGGCTCCCACTGGATCCCTGACATTTAGCATAGTGACTGGCACATAGCAGGAAGTCAATAAATATTGGTTGAGTGAACAGATGTGCAACATGGTAAGTACTATGGCATGCAGAGAAATTAACAAGATACAGGTCTCCAAGGAAGCTGCAAATGAGTGGGACTACGTAATATGCACATGACAGAATCCCTTTCTAAGGAAATGCATGGTATTAGTGACAGTGGTAACATCTGGGAAAGGGTGAGAAGGACACTAACTTTTGATTGCATACTCTTTTGCACTGTTTTTTTTTGTTTTTTTTTTTACAGTTTTATTTATTTGACAGAGAGACACAGCGAGAGAGGGAACACAAGCAGGGGGAGTGGGCAGAGGGAGAAGCAGGCTTCCTGCTGAGCAGGGAGCCTGATGCGGGGCTCGATCCCAGAACCCTGGGATCATGACCTGAGCCAAAGGCAGATACTCAACGACTGAGCCACCCAGGTGCCCCCCTTTCGCACTCTTTGAATAGGGGTGTGTGTGTGTGCTACTTTTATTTTTTTAATTTTAATTTTTAAATTTTTTTTAGAAGATTTTATACATTCATTTGAGAGGGACAGCATGAACGAGAGAGCACAAGTAGGGAGATCATGAGCAGGGAGAGCAGCAGAGGGAGAGGGAGAAGCAGACTCCCTGCTGATCAGGGAGCCCGATGCAGGACTCGATCCCAGGACACTGAGATCATGACCCAAGCTGAAGGCAGATGCTCAACTGACTGAGCCACCCAAGCACCCATGTTACTTTTAAAGTTGTTTTTTTTTTTTTTAAGATTTAATTTATTTGTCAGAGGAAAGGGCGCACAAGCAGGGGGAGCATCAGGCAGAGGGAGAAGCAGGCTCCCTGCTGAGCAAGGAGCCTGATGTGGGACTCGATCCTAGCACCCTGGGATCATGACTTGAGCCAAAGGCATACACTTAACTGACTGAGCCACCCAGATGTCCCTACCTGTTACTGTTAAAGGTAAGCAAACACACTTAAAGAAATAATAAAAGTAAAAAATATTAGGTAACATAAAAGAGATAGAGAATGCCTTAAAGTTTAGAGAAAAGAAGGCTATTTTATTTATTTTTTAAACTTTTTATTTATTTATTCATGAGAGACAAAGAGAGAGAGAGAGGCAGAGGGAGAAGCAGGCTCCCAAGGAGCAGGGAGCCTGATGCGGGACTCGATCCCAGGACCCCGGGATCATGACCTGAGCCGAAGGCAGACGCTTAACCATCTGAGCCACCCAGGCGCCCGAGGACTATTTTAGATAAAGGCCTCAGTAGGAAAGCTTTATAGAAAAATTATCACTTGAATTGGACACTGAAGGATGAGTTAAGGTTTCAATAGAGGTGAAGAAGGGAAGGAGGAAGCAGTTACTAAGGAGAAGGAACACTGAGCAAAGGGATCAGGGCTGGAAAGTACCAGACTGAAGGAAGACAGTGGAGACAGGATGAAAAGTAGGTGGGGATCCATGAAGAGGAGGCGGGAGGTAATGAAGCTAGAAAGTTAGGGTTCAGGGCATAATGTGGAGGCCAGGATAAGGAATTCTGACAAATGTGGCCAGAGGATGAAAAGGAGAGTACAAGAATTAGACCTGTGCATTAGGAAGGCTCTTTTGCAGTCAGTGTGCAAGATGGACTGCAGGGGTAAGAGACAGGCAACAGGAAGGAAGGCAGGGTTAGGACCACCTTAAGACAGGAATGTCAACTTGATGTAAGCTCTGTTTTTATGAGAGAGAGAGAGAGAGAGAGAGAAAATAGAAAGAGGCTAGTTTACTTTGTATTTAGGGAAAGTATGCAGTATTAGTTGAGAGATACTGACACCCTGAACCAATGTCAGACAGAGAAGGAGGGGGAAGAATGCAGGCAGATGGCAGAGATGGCACCAATAGGTCTGAACACACTGATGAGATACGAGGACCGTGGGAGAAATCCAGGTGTTAGAAATTAAGGAAGAGGGAGCTGGAGAGAGAGGGAAGGAAAAAAAGATGGATCCATTCAGAACAATCTAAATTTAAAGAAGCAGAAGGCAATTAAGAGAATTGGGATGGGCAACTATTTGGGAAGGAGGTTAGGACTGAGGAGGGTATAGATTATGGAGTTATTTGCATCTAGATGGTTTGAATTGATAAGGCACCACGTGACAAGCTGAAAAAAGAATGATGGATTTCTTTATGGGGTGATGAGAATGATGGTTGTACAACTCTGTGAATATGCTAAAAATGGAATCGTATACTTTAAATGAGTGAATTGTATGGTATGTGAATTACATGTCAAAGTTGCTGTTAAAAAAAGAAGAAGAAGAGAAAGGATCCTGATGAATGGAGTCAGTGGGTATCACCACTCTTCAGAAATTTAGTAACTTCTCAAAACTTCAATAAGACAGTTGGAGAGTGAGGTAGCTCTTTAGGAGGTTTTTGAGAGGAGGGAAAACTGCGTGTATCCTCAGAGAGGAAGAGCCAGTGGGGAGTAACTTTGAGGCTTTCAGAACATAAGACTTTCCTACAAATTACATACAAGAGGACAAATACCTAATGGATTTCTTCTGTAGTGACATGAGCCTTCCACAGAATACGTAGGCTGGAACACGCTTCCCAACTGATGTGCAAGGACTTGGTTTATATCACTAAAGGAGATCTGCTTGATGTTCATCAGTTTCGCACAGATCTTATGAAGAGCATCATTTTCATGAACAAGGAGGGCATCTGAAGATCGGTACAAGTGAGAAAGAGTCAAAATGGAGTTGTAGTTCTGGACAATAACCTGGAGAGAAAAAGGTCAGAAAAAAAGAAAGGCAAGGAAAAAGAGCGGTTAAGGGGGTAGATTTGAAGGGCGTCCTGCCTGGGTTCAAATCCCAGCTCTGCACTTTCTAGTTCTATGATCTTGGACAAGTTATGTAATCTTTCCAAGCCTCAGTTTTCTCACTTGTATAGCAGGGACAGTAATTATACCAGCTCCTAGAGCTGTAAGGATTAATGACAGAATGCAAGTAAAGCACTTAGAACAGTGTCCTGCTGTTTGTAAGGGCTCAAAAAACTGATTACTACTATCACACTTTCTTCCTACAGCATTTGCTACAGTGACTTAACTCATCTCCATTTTATTATTTCTCTTACAAGGCTGATCAACAGGAAATTGACCTATATAGACATTTCCTCTCAATGGAAAGAAAGGAAAATTCTTTGAAGGTTGGCAATGGCATGATGAACCCCAACAGGAGGTCAAGGTCCCTCCTTTACACTGTAGTCACAGGGACTAACCCAGGAATGGGTTCCTGAGAGAAGATGCACAATTGTCTCCTTTGGAATTTTTTACAAGGACACCTCATTCGTTTAGAAAAGTTTAAGCAAAGTTAAATGAATTGTTCACAGAAGTACTATATTATATAATGAATGACTCCTGATGTAGTAACTTGACATTTCCAAAGAAAGGGTGAGATCAATCTTTTACCCATATTTATTTCACTTCAAAGAATACAAAATACAAATTTTTTTTTTTTAAGCTTTAAGTAATCTCTACACCCCATGTGGGGCTTGAACTTACAACCCTGAGATCAAGAGTCACATCTTTTCCAACCGAGCCAGCCAGGAGCCCCCAAAATATAAAAATTTTCAATTAATATGTTCATACCTCACCAGTTCCATAAGGCCATATAATCTGATTCATTTTCAAAGAGTTTGAGTACTGATCTTGTAAATTCTGTGTAACAAAGGCTCCTAGCCCTGATCCTGTGCCCCCAGCCATACTCATTATGATGAAAAAACCACTCAAAGAGTCACATTTCTCCACTTCCTTCTGGATTAGGTTCATTATAGATTCTTCATGCCTGGGTCCATGAACAGAGTAACTATGCAACACAAAAGAAACAAATACAAACACCTTTCAATATACTCAGAAAGAGGCAAGAGAGGAAGATATAGGATAGAGGTTTTTTAAAACCCAGGGATGTGAACTAGCTCTCATGAAAGGTACAAGTGCCCTGATAAAATTTAAAACATACATGTTAAATATATTGAACAGGTGAATAGGACTGTGGGGAGAGTGAATTTACTGGGTACAAAAAAATTCTCTTTTATAGGCCATTCCTGTAGCTGAAGACTTCAGTTACCAGGTAGTTCTGCAAGCTTATGGTACAAAATAATATTCAATATTCATAATAATACTTCTAAAGCAGTAGTTCTCAAACTTTGCTGCTAATTAGAATTACCGAGGCGAGTTTTAAAAAAATCCCAATACCTGGGCTTCTTCCTAAACCAATTAAATCAGAACTTCTGAAGTAAGACCCAGGCATGAGAATTTTCCAAAGAACCCCAGGACATACTACTGCCTTGTTGTGTTCCCTATTAGCTGGAATACCTGCCAGACAAAGATATTGTTTTGATAATAAGTTAGTTGGTGGAACGACAGTGATGAAGTGGAAAACCCTGCAGCAAGAGATCCTTGGTTTTATCATTACCTGGACCTGAAGCAGAGACATATATGAGATAGAATGAAGAGTTTCTACCGGGTGAAGTCACTCTCTAAATTTTAAAATAGCAATTTCAGGATTATGTGCTTGGTATATCAACGATGCGGCTGTAACTATGCTGTCCAGGCAGCTGTGTCTAAACCAAAATCATGAGGAATTACTCTTACCCATATGCCCAGTTGTTTCCAGAACCTTGTTTTTGACAGAAGCACGAATGCTGGCCATATTTCCATCGGCCAGACTGGGCAGCCTTTGATAGTGTTTGATTGGTAACTTTAGGTTCCATATCAACAAGGACAGCCCGGGCAACTGGAACTAGAGAGAGGAAAAAGACCAAAAGAAAAATATTTCATATGTCTTATTTGGGTTATTTCAGAGCACAAATTTCTAGGTCCAAAAAAAAAAAAAATCCAAAGGTTAAGGATAGAAAGATCTGTCATACTGCTTAGAAATTAAGGTGGGCAGCAGCAGGTATATGCAGATGGTTCATAATGCCTAGCATTCTACTAAGTAGAATGAATCAGTGTGGGCTAAAATGATCCCTGGGTCAGGTCTACAAACATCTACTGAGAGCTTACAATGTGCCAAGCACTGTGCTGGGAACAGAGATGAAGACAACATCAATCTAGCCCTAGAAGCACTAGTGGAAGAGATAAAACTTAATCGCAGTATGATGTGGTACGACCCAAAGCAGGCCAGGCTCAAACCTTGGAAATCCTGGTATGGAGTGCTAAAAAGCTTAAAAATTTATCTATGAGATAATGTGAAACTACTGAAAATGTTCAAGCAAGTGAGGAATTGTCATGACTTTTTAACTAATTAATTTTTAAAGATTTTAATTTGTCAGAGAGAGAGCAAGCGAGCGAGAGTGCAAGCAGGGGGAGCAGCAGGCAGAGGGAGAAGCAGGCTCCCTGCTGAGCACAGAGCCTGATGCGGGATTTGATCCCAGGACCTGGCATCATGACCTGAGCCGAAAGCAGATGCTTAATGACTGGGTCACCCAGGCATCCCTTCAATTTATTTTTTAAGTAATCTCTACACCCAATGTGGGGCTTGAACTCACAACCCTGAGATCAAGAGTCACATGTTCTGCCGACTGAGCTAGCCAGGGGCCCCATCAGATGACTTTTTAAATACAGCAGTGTGGAAAATAGATATGATAGACACAAGAATCAAGGCAGGGAAACTAGAAGGAATGTCTTGAAACAATCCAGGTGACAGAGGACAAGAGCCAGAACTAAGCCAATGGCAGTGAAGATGGAAAGGGGAGAAGAGATATGTAGGAGGTAAATTAAGCAGCAGATGATTGTTTGATGGTATGTGGGCAGTAAGAGCCCAAGTTCTAAAGGAAATTTAATGAATGCCCTAGGATATGGAGATGTTGAGTTTGAGGTACACATGGAGATGCAGGTGGAGACGTCCACTAATCAGTCTGCAGCTTTGAAGAGAGGCTAGGCTGCAGATTTGAGAATCACTAGTGTCAAAGAAGTTGCAAATTACAAGAGTAACTGAAATTGCCTAGAGAGAACTATACCAGGGAGGACAGAGGAGAGAGAGTCTGAGATGCAACCACTGGAAAAGAAAAATTCAGAGACTAAGGAGGAGTTTTATTTTTTATTATTTTTTTAATTTTTTATTGTTATGTTAATCACCATACATTACATCATTAGTTTTTGATGTAGTGTTCCATGATTCACTGTTTGTGCATAATAAGGAGGAGTTTTAAAGAGGGAGTTTGAGGGTGCCTGGGTGGCTCAGTTGGTTGAGCGACTGCCTTCGGCTCAGGTCATGGTCCCACGGTCCTGGGATCGAGTCCCACATGGCTTCCCCTGCTCTGTGGGGAGCGTGCTTCTCCCTCTCCCTCTGCTGCTCCCCCTGCTTGTGCATTCTCTCTCTCTGTCAAATAATTAAAATCTTTAAAAATAAATAAATAAATAAAGAGGGAGTTTTATAGTTAATGTTATAAAATCCAAGACAGAAGTGAACTGAGAAAAGAGAAACAGTCACTGGATCTAGGAGATTACTAGGAACTTTTTTTTTTTAAGAGAGGGAGGTGGGGAAAGGCAGAGGGAGAGGGAGACAGAGAATCTTAAGCAGGCTCCACACCCAGCATGGAGCCTGATGTGGGGCTCGATCTTACAACCCTGAGATCATAGCCTGAGCTGAAATCAAGAGTTGGACGCTTGGGGTGCCTGGGTGGGAAGCCTGCTTCTCCCTCTTCCACTCCTCCTGCTTGTGTTCCCTTTCTCGCTGTGTCTCGCTCTGTCAAATAAATAAATAAAATCTTAAAAAAAAAAAAAAGAGTTGGACATTTAACTGACTGAGCCACCCAGGTTCTCCACTAGGAACTTTTTTTTTTAATTAACATATAATGTACTATTGGTTTCAGAGGTACAGGTCTGTGATTCATCAGTCTTATATAATACCCCGTGCTCATTACATCACATGCCCTTTTTAAAAAATTTTTTATTGTTATGTTAATCACCATACATTACATCATTAGTTTTTGATGTAGTGTTCCATGATTCATTGTTTGTGCATAACACCCAGTGCTCCACGCAGAACCTGCCCTTTAATACCCATCACCAGGCTAACCCATCCCCCCATTACATCACATGCCCTCCTTAATGTCCATCACCCAGTTACCCCATCCCTCCACTCCCCTAGGAACTTTTCTTTGAGCACTTCAGTGGTGGTGTAGGGCTTAAAGCAGGACTGTAGTTGGTTTGAGAATCTTAGATGAGCAGGTAGAGAGATAAGAAGGAAAAGAAAAGCTTGGGGTGCCTGGCTGGCTCAGTCGGTAGAGTATGTGACTCTTGATCTTGGGGTTGTGAGTTCAAGCCCCATACTGGGGGTAGAGTTTACTTAAAAAAAATTGCAACGCTTAGTCCAAATCTCTGTACTCTATACCACCGCACAGTGCCTACACACAAAATGGAATAAAATTTTTTTCTTAAAGATTTTATTTATTTGACAGAGAGAGAGAACACAAGCAGGGGGAGCAGGAGGCAGAGGGAGAGGGAGAAGCAGGCTCCCTGCTGACCTGGGAGCTGGATGCCAGGCTTGATCCCAGCAGCCTGGGATTATGACCTGAGCCGAAGGCAGATGCTTAACCGACTGAGCCACCCAGGCGCCCCAGGGAATAAGTCTTTAAAAAACAAAAGAAAAGAAAAGAAAAAAAAGCTGTAGTCGTTAGGTTGTTTGATTGGTTGGTTTTAGATGGGTGAGATCTGAGCAAGCTCCTGCGCTGACAGGAAGTTGCCATTGGAGAGGCAAAGGTTGTTAACACAGAAACAAAGGGCTGAGAGCAAAGTCATTCCCTAGAAAGATGGGAAGAGATGGTGTTCAGACACCATGTGGATTGAGGACCTGGCCTTGAAGAGGTGTCAGATAAAGGAGAGGAATATAGATGGATCACACATACCTCCATTTTCCTCCTCACTGAAGAATCTTTCTTTGCAAGATGCTTGATATGCCTCATTCTCTCTTTTAGAGCAGAGTCCCTGGGGACAGTGTGAGTCAGTATATAGAGCATCAAATACTTCAAAACCAATCTGATTACCACACTGACCAAGTTGCACTGTTACTATTGACATGCTGAGATGCAAACTAGGCCTATTCCCTCAAAAAAGCAAGCAACCTGTAATAGAAAAATATAGGCTTTGAGAACCACTACAGTACTAATAAACAAGGAACAAATAAAATGTCATATGTACATCGATAAAAAACAATTTAAACATGCCATATATATGGTGTTGTAGATGAAATAGCTATGTTGTCTAAGGAGCTAATCATTCAAGGAAGTTGTTTTCTTTACATATTTTTGGAATTCGGAATTTACTGTACCCAAATGCATTCATAGACAGCTCAATAGTGTCTGAAATCTGATTTGTATTCACTGTGTCCCTAAGCATGCATTTAAAACAAAACAAAACAAAACAAAACAAAATGAATGCTAGTTGAAGGAATTCCTAGTACATACTTCATACTATAGGGACACACAGAACACAGAAGTTAGCTCAACAACTGTACATTTAATTAACATTAATTTTCTCTCTTCTAACTAATGACTTTCTCCCTACCAATCACCTTCTGGCCTGGTAACTACAATAACACAAGAAAGACTTGTGTTTGGACAGCAAGGAAGACAAAGCTTGGAAAGAGAGGACTAGATGAAACAGGAGAGCAAGTCTTCACTATTTTTAACAATGAAAAGAGACAATTTTTGGTAAAGACCTCACACCAGGTTTTCGCAGCACTGGAAAGAGCAGGGGCTTTCGAGCCAGACCGTACTTAAAATTTTCAAACAACCCTGCAAACTAGGTATTCTCATTTAATAGATAAGGAAACTGAGACTCTGAAAGGTTATGTGACTTTCGCAAGACCACCGAAATAGAATAGCAAAACCAAGTTTCTCCCTTTCCCCACCAGTCCCAGGAGCTCCATAAACCCCACTCACGGACAGACCAGAACCAGCCGTTTCCGTCCTGTTCAAACTTCAGAGGGCCAACCCTCTCATTATGCGCGTGCTCACTTTCGATTTAAAAAAAAAAAAAAGCTACGGAGAACGAATTGCGCATGTTCACAAACGAAGAGTTTTGTTGTGTTTTTTTCTATTCAGAAAGGTTAATTACGCATGTTCAATTTCAATTTATCAACTTCAGACAAGGTACGCATGCTCATTGTCCATCAAAAGCTTTAGCCGAGAATGCGCACGATCTAGCTACCTAAGAGGCTTCGGCTGGGGTTCTGCGCATGTTTCTGCCAGTACCTGGCTCCAGGCGATAGCTCTACGCATGTTCATTGCCCACAGTTTGGCTTCACAGAACCTTGTACGCATGCTCTAGCGCTGAACTTGAGGAGCCAGTCTAGGGCCTAGGCGCAGACGCACTGAGCCCAAGCAGCCGGTGATGGCGGCAGCAGCGGCGGTGCCTGCGGCGGGTCCGGGCCCATGAGGCGACGACGGAGGCGGGACGGCTTTTACCCAGCGCCGGACTTCCGAGACAGGGAAGCTGAGGACATGGCAGGAGTGTTTGACATAGACCTGGACCAGCCAGAGGACGCGGGCTCTGAGGATGAGCTGGAGGAGGGGGTGAGGCCCGGGGTCCCGGGGGGCCCGAGGTGACAGGGCCGGGGCGGCGGCGCGGGCCCTGGAAGCCCAGGGCGTCGGTGAGCGCGGAGACCCGGGGGGGCGCGAGTAGTCTCCACGAGGAGCTAGGCGCCGCGCGGTCCGAGGCAGGGGAGCGGGCGGGGCGGACCTGGCCCTAGGTGTGAGGCCGCTTCGGGGCTCGCAGGTGCAGGTCGCGCCGGTAGCCCCAGATCAGCGCAGCCCGGAGCAGTCTATTTGTGGAGGAGACGAGAAAGGGCGAGTGGTCGATTCCTCGAGCTGCTGAACTTGAGTGTGGCGGGGTGCGAGTGGTGTAAGCGCATGTTGGGGGGAGGGGGACTACTCTTTCTGGGTGTCCCTTAAGTGCAGGTGAAGTGCTGAAGGGTTTCCCTTCGAGTGTAAGATTTTAAGTATTAAATCTTCAGACCTCCCACAACCACCTCTCTTCTCGGCCTGTCGCTTCTCTCCTAGGAAGCGCTCAGCTGTTAGAAGTGACAGCTGAAAACTTCTGTCGGGAGTAGCGCTGCCGCTGCTGTTACAGCCACCAGGAGTTTTATTTCGGGAGCAAGGGGGCTCTGCTGCATCTTCCAGGGTTTGTTTGTTTGCTTTTTTTTTTTTTTTAACCCCCCCTTCCGTGTGACTTTTTTTTTTTAAACATTTATAACGACACACGGCATTTGTAACTTTTCCCCTAGTTGAAGATGTCTGCATTTTTTCAAAATACTTTGTGTAATTTGGGGGTGGAAAAAACCAGCGTTGACAGCTGTGATTTGGCTTGCCAAAAATAAATTGCTTGAACTGAGACTTGTGAATGGTGGTGCGAGGGCTTTCCTTGCTGTAATTTAGGGTACTAAATTTAGAATTGTTTTTTCCTAATGCATAGTTTGGTTTTACCTTTGCTGTCTTAATAGTTTGTTACTCTTTGTGGAATATCATTCTTTTTTCAAGATAAATGTATTGAAAAATCACAAATTGCACTTGAAGTTCAAAAATACTGTTGTCATACTATATCACTGATTCTGGGCAAATGATCATCCGTGATAACCTCATGATAATTTAGATTTTAAATCCCACTGTCTAGGTGAGTACATGAGTTAAGGACTGGTGTCAGATGTTTGCTCTATGTAAGGGGCTCTCCTTTTCCTCACCTGATTTTCCTCTTCTGGAAAGTAAGTTGTGCCCTGCTTGTTGCCAAAAAATCTAGATGCTATAAATAAAGAGCTTTGAACATTGTAAGAAACTAAGTGGGCTGAAATAATATTGTTTTTTTCATAATCAAATAAGTCTAATAAAAATCACACAGTTTGTAAGGTGGGTATTGAGATGTGTACTTTTTAGTATGTTTGCCTACGGAATTCCAGTTAGCCTCTTAATCGAATACCGGTTACACTCCATACAATTTGAAACGAATATGGAATTACTTTCACTATGTATTGCATACTTTCATTAATTATATTGGCTCCATATGGCAGTGGCTTTGGAGCAGGGCAGGGGAGAAAACTGGATAATTCAGGAGACGTTAAAGCAATTGGAAGTAAAACACTGTGTTAAGATTTCTGTTATGAATTGGGACCTCCTTGAGATGTATTTTGGCCTACTCCTGTACGTTCATTTTGCTGGGTACAAGCAAACAGGTGTTTGAGAGAGTGTGGAAGAGGAGGTCAGAGAAATTGGTAGAAATATGAAGGAGAAAGAAACATGACCACTATCGTGGGGAGGGGAACTTTGGAGAAAAAGCAGAGGTAAAGAGGATTTTGAGGAAGAGCCTTCAGCAAAATATATCTTACTTTGCAATGCTTTTGGAGTTGAAAATATTTCTTTTGAGTGTGTTATTCTAAGAGGTTCCTCAAGGTGGACAAACGAAAAGAGTTGAGGATGGGATTGGGTTGGCCACCTGAGGAAATTTAGTGACACCCAGGTTTCTCTAAAACACAATTTAAAAATTTTGAAAAACAAGAGAAGTTTAGATTCTTGAAAATCTGGCTATTTGTGAATATGCAACATTTAGTACACAAACTTTTAAAAACATTGGTGCATATCTGAGTAGCCCCACTTCTTCATCGCATAGTAAGGAAATGGAGGCATAAACCAGAGAGGTGATTGCCCAAGACCACGTAGATAACTAGTTAACTAGTAATGTCTTCTGACTCCAGCCTGCAGGCTTCATTGCATAGCTTCTTCATTGTATTTACTAGTCTTGTTCATATTGTACTTCTGTGGTGGGTCAGAAGTTAATTCAGATCCCTCCAGGCATTGTCACTGACTGTGTGATTTAGAATAAATTGCTTATTCTGACATTTTTTTCTTTTCTGTCAAATGAGGATTATGTGAGAGAAGGTATATAAAATACTTAAGATATTCTTGCATATTAAGCAGTTAGCTAGTTCATGGAAATACAACTTGTCAGTGTTACTCATTGCCAAGGAACCAAACATTCAAGTTTACCCTCATCTATGCCTAGAGACTTAATAAATGCAGTTATACCAGAGGTGCTGCATTTTTGAAACGGTAGGATTTTTAAAATTATTGGTCCTATTCAGAGATACGTGCCTTTTTAGATATGTTACACTGACTAAATTTATATCAGGAAATATATGTATTTATACATCATAATTAATTCTTCAGTGAGTAAAGGATGAGGACAGTAAATGAATGCATTTATGGATAAAGCTGAACATTACCTAAGAAAGGACCCTGATTGAATACCTCAAAGGACTATATTAAAAAGCAGCGGGTAAGAGCGTTTTTTGGGAGGGGACTGGATGGTTAGGTTTGGGTCTTTTTTGTTCGTTTTTCATTGGTGATGGTATAATTTGGGGAGAGTGAGTTGAAACTAAGGGAAAGTTTTCCTCTAGAGATTTTCACTAGATTATGAAGATGTTGGAAACCTGTTTTCTGTGGAGACACAAAGTTAGAAGAGTAATAGAAAAGTCTAATCCTTAATTTTTACTAATTCAAAATTGAAGTAGTCACAGAAGCTTACTGCATGAGTTTCAGATTGGGATATCAGATTTTTATTGAGCAAAAAGTTTGAAATTTTTTAGTGCTTTGAAAAATGAAGTTGCTATAGCTAATATTCACTGTTATGAAAAATTATAGAAAAACATCAATGCTTATCCTGCATTATAATGGGCACTATAAAGCACTTGTAAATAGCTCAAGATTTTGAGCAAGGTTTACTCCTTTTCTCCCAATTCATTGAATTACGGAATCTTATTTTATAAGGAAATGTCTGTGAGCAAACAGCCAGGAAAGTGGATAAACAGTATAATGAATATCTGGATTAAGGATATTTCACCCGTTCTGTAACAATTTATTTACATTTTTATGAAATGTTCCTTCTTTGATTGGGATTTTAGGCATATTAACTTGAATTTATATACAATTTTAATTTAAAACTTTGGAAATACTTTGGTGGGCTGGTTTGAAATATATCTTGAATAGTACCCTAGATGAGCAGGATTCACTTTGTCAATCATAGTAGCACATCAAAAAGAGTATTGGATGGGTCATAAAGCTTAAAGCAGAAGAAAAAAATCTAAAAAGTTTCCTCTGAAAGAAAAGTTGTCTATGTATTATATAATGTTAGCCTGATGCTTCTGGTGTGAGACTTTTCTAAAGGTAACATGGGGTAGCAGAAAAGCACTGTGCCTCAAATGCTTCTGCTCCAGAAGGTAACGGTAGGAAGTTATGAACACAGATGCAGGTGGTAATACAGGCCTGGCTGGCTCCGGAAATGAAACATAGCCACAGGGCATATCTTTCTAGGTGGCTTCAAAGTCATGGTTTAGTGTTAACTACCCTGTGGTCTTTAATTTAAAATTAAGTAAAACTAACATTAAAGTAAAAACAATTATATATTACCAGTTTTATCACATTTGGGAGAAGTTAGTCTTTTGTCTTTAAAGTGAAGCCATCATAGGTGATTATGTGAAGCACCAGAGACCAAAAAACCGTTAACCATAACTACCCCTACCCCCCAAAAGAAACTGTATCAAGTTGAAACTGCAAGAATTTTTTTCCCCTTGATACTGCTTCATCCATTTGGCTCAGTCTAACATTGAAACATACATCCCTAGTATTAGACCTCATCCTGACTTGTTCACATCATGAGCAAATTTTGGCTGAAAATCTGTAGTTTGGGGGGCATTTAAGCGTCCCTTGTTTAAGAATACTATCAGTTTTCTGAGTGCCTGGGTGGCTCAGTTGGTTAAGCTTCTGCCTTCGGCTCAGGTCATGATCCCAGAGTCCCGGGGACTCGAGCCCCATGTCGGGCTCCCTGCTCAGCAGGGAGCCAGCTTCTACCTCTCCCTCTCCCTGCTGCTCCCCCTGCTTGTGCTCTCTCTCACTATCAAATAAATAAATAAAATCTTAAAAAAAAAAATACTATCAGTTTTCTTTGTGTAGCTTGAATGTGCACTGCTACCTTTGAGGGAAGATGTGTTCACCTAAATATTTTTTTAATTATTCTAAAATGTTCAATAAAAACTTAAAAACTTAGCATTTTTAAAAAGTATTTAAATTCCAGGGGCGCCTGGGTGGCTCAGTCGTTAAGCATCTGCCTTCAGCTCAGGTCATGATCCCAGGGTCCTGGGATCAAGCCCCACATCGGGCTCCCTGCTCAGCGGGGGGGCCTGCTTCTCCCTCTCCCACTCCCCCTGCTTGTGTTCCCTCTCTCACTGTGTCTCCCTCTGTCAAATAAATAAATAAAATCTTAAAAAAAAAAGTATTTAAATTCCAGTTAGTCAACCTACAGTGTAATATTAGTTTTAGGTGTACAATGTAGTGATTCAACACTTAAAAAAACATCATTTTTGAAAGCCCAATTAAGTGATATCCTTTTGTATAAATTAAAAGGCTCATAACCAGACTATATTCAAGAATACTCATTTTAAAGCTATATTTTATAATATTAATAACTGAATTTCTATTGCCAAGTTATTTTTTAACAATTATGTGACTTTTAGTATATTTATAGGGTTGTACAACCATCACTGCAATTTAGTTTTAGAACATTTCTATCACTGTTAAACTGGGCCCATTTATAGTCACTCCTTATTGCCACCTCAATCCATAGGTAACCAGTGGTCTACTTTCCATCTCTATAAATTTGCCTTTTCTGGACATTCCATATAAACCAAATCATTCAGTATGTGGACTTTAGTGTCTGGCTTCTTTTACTTAACAGGACGTTTTTGAAGATCATCTGTGTCATAGTATGTACATAAAGCCAAATTGTATTCCATTGTATGTATCAACCACAATTTATCAGTTCACCAGTTGATGTGCATTGGAGTTGTTCCCATTTTTTGACTGTTGTGAATAATGCTGCTAAGAACATTTGTGCCCAAGTCTTTATGGGACATATATTTTTATTTTTCTTGGGTAGATAGCTAGGAGTAGATTTGCTGGGTCATATGTTAAGTCTATGTTTAATTTTTGAAGATACTGCCAAACTGTTAAAGAGGTTGCACCATTTTACATTCCTGACAGTAGTGTACCAGTGTTCTAATTTTCTCTACTTCTAATTTTTTTTAAAAGGTTTTATTTGTTTATTTGACAGAGACACAGCGAGAGAGGGAACACAAGCAGGGGGAGTGGGAGAGGGAGAAGCAGGCTTCCTGTGGAGCAGGGAGCCCGTTGCGGGACGCAGGACGTGGGACGCGGGACACGGGGCTTAGGCTCGATCCCAGGACCCTGAGATCATGACCTGAGCCGAAGGCAGACACCCAATGACTGAGCAACCCAGGCGCCCCTAATTTCTCTACTTCTTGCCCAACTTAATTTTCTTTTTAATTATAGCCACCCTAGTGGATATGAAGGGGTATCTCAGTGTGATTTTGATTTGTATTTGCATTTCTGTAATGGCTGATTATGTTGAACACCTTTTCAGGTGCTTACTGACCATTTGTGTATCTTGTTTGGAGAAATACCTATTCAGATTCTAACACTTTAAAAAATTGGGTTATTTTAAAATTTTGAGTTGTAGAAGTTCTTTCTTTATATATTCTTCTGTGGGGTTTCTTTTCACTTTCTTAATAATGTCTTTTGAAGGGCAAAAGTTTTAAATTTTGAATAAGTCCAGTTTATTGGGTTTTTTTTTCCTTGAATCATTTGTTCTTTTGGTGATGTCTTTTTCAGAGATTTTATTTATTTGAGAGAGAGAGTGATCGAGAGAAAGAGGGAGAGAGAGCAAGAGTGGGGGCAGGGACAGAGGGAGAAGCAGACTTCCCGCTGAGCAGGGAGCCTGACATGGGGCTGGATCCCAGAACCCTGGGATCATGACCTGAGCTGAAGGCAGACACTTCACTGACTGAGCCATTCAGGTGCCCGTTGGTGATGTGTCTTAAGAAATCATTGCCTATCCCAAGATTATGAATATTTTCTCCATCCTAGGTTTCTTGTAGGAGTTTTCTAGTTTTAGCTCTTATATTTAGGCCCTGATCAATTTTTTTTCAAGGTTTATTTATTTGAGAGAGAGCGAGAAAGAGAGTGTGTACACGCAGTGGGAAGGGGCAGAGGGAAAGGGAGAGAGAATCCCAAGCAGACTCTGTGCTAAGCATGGAGCCTGATGCAGGGCTCAATCCCATGACCCTGAGATCACTACCAGAGCCGAAACCAAGAATTCAACGTCCAACCAACTGTGCTAGCCAGGCACCCCAGGCCTGTGATGAATTTTAAGTTACTTTTTTATTTTTTTATTTTTTATTTTTTTTTTTAAGTTACTTTTTTAGTGTGGTGGAATATGGTGTGAAGTAGGGGACTAAAGTAATTTTTTTGCATGTGGATATCCAAATGTCCTAGCACCATTTATTGAAAGACTGTCTCTTTCCCATTGAATTTTCTTGGCATCTTTGTCAAAAATTAGTTGACCATAAATATAAGGGTTTATTTCTGGACTCTTAATTCTAATTCATTGAACTATATGTCTGTCCTTATCCCAGTACCTCATTGTCTTTGTTGCTGTTGCTTTGTAGTAAATATACTTTAAAATCAGGAAATGTCAGTTCTCCAACTTTGTTCTCCTTTTTTCAAAAATTGTTCTAGCTATTTTGGGTCCCTTGCATTTCTGTATGAATTTTAGGGTCAGCTTGTCAATTTCTGTAAGAAAGGAACCTGGGATTTTGATAGGATTGAGTTGAATCTATAGACCATTTCGGTTAGTATAACCATCTTAAACAATACTAAGTTGTCAGATCCATGAACGTGGAATGTCTTTTGATTTATTTAGATCTTCTTTAATTTTTTTCAGCAATGTTTTATAGTTATCAAATGTATAAGTCTTACACTTTTGTTAAATTTTTTCTAATCGATGCTAATTTATTATTGATGCTATTGCGAACAGAGTTATTTTAATTTCATTTTTGAATTGTTCATTGTTAGTGTACAGAAAGTTAATTAAATTTTGCATCCATTTATACTATGGTCAGAATAAAAATGTTTGGCCAACGTAACTCTTGACAATTTGAAGGTGATGCTTAATTATTTTGCTTTGATCAGCCACATGATACATTACAGTATCTTAGACTGGTTGTGGTTACTGTAGGCTTAGTTAGGTTGTAGTTACATGTTATGTTAGTCTTGTGTATCAGAATCATATTCAGAACAGCACTTTATGTAAATCATTTGATTTAGTAATTCATACTTAGAATCTTGTGCCTTTAGTTTCATAATACACAAAATATATCTTTTGAATAAATGTAATTTTTAAAGGAGCTATCACCTACTTTGTTTGTAGATCATTGATCAGTAGCATCTGTAGCTTAATTGTCATAGAAAATTAAAAGTGAAATCCCTGTGGTATCGTGTACCTTATTTTGTTCATCACCACATTTGCTGGTTATTAAAGTATGGAGAATTTTTAAGCTGGTTTATTTCATTTCTCCTTTAGTAGTAGGGTGAAGCATTAAGTATTTTGATTCTATGTTTATGAGATTATTTATTTTTAAAACTTTAACATATTTTTCAGGGTCAGTTAAATGAAAGCATGGACCATGGGGGAGTTGGACCATATGAACTGTAAGTGTATATGAAAAGATTTCATTGTGCTGTCTTTCCTACAAGTAGGTTTTATCAGTTCCAGTTTGTAGCCATCATGTGATTCCAATAACCTGTTCTTAATTATCTAGTCATATATGTAAACTTAGTTTATTGAGTTTAGCACCATACAGTAATATATCCAGGGTTTTGAGATCATATATAGATTTTGAGAGAAAGATGTTCATTCTGACTTACAGTATACTGAATATGAGTCTGAGTGGGTAAGGAATTTTCATTAGGTTATTAGAGAGTTAATTTTTCTTCCTTAAAAATAAAATTTTTAGAAATGACTTCCAAAGTCAAATGCTTTTTGTTTTGCTTGTAATACATCATTCATACAGAGATATGTGCAATCTCAAGTCATTTTAGGCAAACTCTATTAAATGAGAATGGTGATTAATCTGCTCTGTACCCCAACCTTAAGTAAAAACCATGGGTTGGGGGTAGACCAGGATAACTCATATAAAAAGCATTGAAGGGACAAATTGCCACTTAAATGCCACTTTTGGAGTCTTTAAATCAAGCTAATAGTAGATATGGAAAGGTGCATGGATACATTTTATTAGCAAGAATTTTTGTAGCATAAATTCTTGAACTAATTGGGTACTTTTACAGAGTTCCCAGATTTTCTGAAGCTGCCAATGAAGTTGGATAATACCTAGTCTCGTAGACATTTTGAATGAACTAAATATGAATAGCTAGAAGACTTTTTTTCCTTTGTCAACTTAATAAACTTGTTCTAATTTATCTTAGTTTGGGGGTGCTTGATGTTTAAAAAATGATAATAGCATATTCTGTAAACAAGCAGATAAGCAATTATCAAGCCATCCTAATCTTGACCTACCTTGCCATTGAATCATTAGTTTACTGAGAGCACAGGTAGTAAATTTGTTGTTATATACCTTTTCCTTTTTACTTATTTGGATTACAATGATAGTAAACTGAAGATAATTTAACTTTTTGAGAATTTACTTTTGGTTTTACTTTTCTCCTCAGTGGCATGGAACATTGTGAGAAATTTGAAATTTCGGAAACTAGTGTGAACAGAGGGCCAGAAAAAATCAGACCAGAATGTTTTGAGCTACTTCGGGTACTTGGTAAAGGGGGCTATGGAAAGGTAGGAAGTATTTTTGAAATAAGAGCTGTTGTCTGTCTTGGGTAGGTTAATTTTTAGATTCTGGTTTAGCGGTCCTCTTCAATCTTTGTTTACTAGCTGTCAGCAAAGGATATGATCACCTAACCTGGTATTATTTGAGGGATGTACAGAAGTTCTCTTCCTACCAACATACACATAAAAGACTGACACATAATAGGCACTCAGTCAATATTTGTTGAATAAATAAATAGGCAACTGTGCCAGGCAAAGTCTATTATTAGAGGAATCCTTCCTTCTTTTGGTTAAATGGTATCCTCTGGAGGTATTCTCTTAAAAAACAAACCACTCCTTACTTTTAGGAGGAATGGCATGTTAAATTGTTAATATTACTGAGATCTAAATCTGAATTGGTTTTCTTTGACTTGCAGTATTTGGAGCATTAGAGCTAGGGAAGCTGAAAAATATAAGGGAGAAGAAAAATGAAGAGAACTTCTTAGCTTCATATTTTGCCCAAGTCTTTCTAATTTGTGACCTCACCTTTGTGTATTCTGCCCAAGAAAATTTATACCTAGCTATTCTTTATCAAAACATAGAATTTGGATAACATTTTAGTAGTTAGGATTAAGTTTAAGAACTATTTATGCTACTGTGTAGTGTTAATTTTTTCATAGCATGACATTTATAGGTTCTTCTTAGGCTTAAGGACACATTCTGATGTGTTCTAATCATCTCGAATGTGGAACACGTGCACTTTGAGTCTCACATTATTTTAGCTATTGCATGATGTTTTATATAGTTAGCCTTTTTAAGGAATAGGTAAACAGTAATTCCTGTCAACTATTATTAAAGTTTTATGTGAAGCAAGAACAGTGGCATTCCTGGAAGAAACTTAAAAATATAATTTTTACTTTTGGTATTCTGCTTCTGGAAACCCTGAATATAGCTTTTTCCAAGAAAACTTGGATTTTGTGTGTGAAGTTATATAGAGTGCTCATTATTGGATGGTCACTGGCCAACTTTGCCACCAGATGTCAGCAGACCAAATAGGACAGTCCCATGTTTAACAGATTTTATTACTAAATCTTTAATATTGTCTGCTCTTTGAGGTCATCATTTTTGCACAGTCTTTGTGTTACTAGTTTTTTTTAAGAATATAAACTATTGTATCATCTGTTTTCTATAAATAGGAATTAAGGGAGTGTGACTAGCATAGTTTAGCTTTTAATAACAAACACTTATTTTTTATCCAGGTTTTTCAAGTACGAAAAGTAACAGGAGCAAATACTGGGAAAATATTTGCCATGAAGGTGCTTAAAAAGGTGATTCCTTCCCTCCTCTTTGTTCCTTTTCCCTTTTTTTTTTTTAAAGTAGGCTCCACGCCCAACATAGGGGGTGAACTCCACGACCCTGAGATCAAGAATTGCATGCTCTACTGACTGAGCCAGCGAAGCGCCCCTCCCCAACTTTATTGTTAATTGCTATAAAATCCACATTTTGGCCTAAAATTCTCAGTCAAGAAAATGTATTTCTAACACAATATGACAAGTCCTCTTAGAATGTGAGATATGTTTCATTATTGGTATTCCTGTTTTCTGCTTGGTGAATGTGGAAAGGAGAGCTCTTTTAATTCTCCTCTGAAGTAACTCTTTTAGCTCTTTGTTCTGGTCTCCATATTTCTAAGTAATAAGCATGTTCTGCTGTCACTTAACATAGCAGTTTTAGAATTATGTATTGACTTCCACTCTACTCTCTTTCACTTCTTCCTCCCTTCTCCCCATCCTCTCATTTTGCTTTGTTTTCTTTGAGTCTATTGTCTTCTCATACCTTCCAACAGCTCTGTTCAGGCCAATTTTCTATGGTCCCACTTATTAGGTAGTCTATCAGTTCCATTTATTTTCCTGTAGAATTCCATCAGAACCTTCTGTCCCCCTATTCCTGTCTGTACTGGTAGCTCTTGAGGCATGGCTGCCGTTACTGGACTTCCACCACAACCCTTGGTATCCCCTTGGTTCCATCAGTGTTGGATTCTTTGTTCCTGGATCCCAGATCTTCCTTTATCTTAGTTTATGCCCTTGTTCCCTCTTTTGGTGACCAACTACCAGTGGCTTCCTGAGAAAGGGTACATGAAGGTAAATTTTTGGGTAAATACTGCATATTTGAAAATTTTCCTATTACACCCTTATGCTTGTTTGAGTGTGGTTTTGAAATTGAAAATCATTTTCACCCAGGATTTTGCTTTATTTTCATTTAGCCTTAAGTGTTTCTATTAAGGAGTCCCTTGCCATACTGATTCCCATTTCTTTTTATTCTTTCCTAAAGATTTTTTTTTTTTTTTTTTAGATTTTATTTATTTATTTGACAGAGAGAGACACAGTGAGAGGGGGAAACACAAGCAGGGGGAGTGGGAAAGGGAGAAGCAGGCTTCCCACAGAGCAGGGATCCCAGTGCAGGGCTTGATCCCAGGACCCTGAGAATATGACCCAAGCTGAAGGTAGACGCTTAATGACTGAGCCACCCAGGTGCCCCTCTTTCCTAAAGATTTTTAAAACTTACTCATCTGAGAGATTGAGTGAGACCCAGCAGAGGGAAAGGGAGAGGGAGAAGCCAACTCCCTGTTGAGCAGGGAGCCCAATGTGGGGCTTGATCCTCAGGATCCTGGGATCATGACTTGAGCCGAAGACAGATGCTTAACTGACTGAGCCACCCAGGTGCCCCTGATTCCCCTTTCTTTAGAGATCTTTCTTTCTTTCTTTCTTTCTTATTTATTTATTTATTTTAACTTTTTTTAAAAAAAGATTTTATTTATTTGTCAGGGAGAGAGAGAGAGCACAAGTAGGGGGAGTAGCAGGCAGAGGGAGAAACAGACTCCCCGCTGAGCAAGGAGCCAGATGTGGGACTCAATCCCAGGACCTCGGGATCATGACCTGAGCATAAGGCAGACACTTACCGGACTGAGCCACCCAGGCATCCCTAGAGATCTATTTTTCTTTAAACATACTAAAGTTTTCTTTTGATTTCTTTTGTTCTAAATTTTTTACAGTGGTGTGTTTATCTTGCTTTGATCCTTATTATTTTCTTTATTTTTACTCTTTCAGTCTTAAAAGTTCCAATCCTTCAGCTCTATAAGGTTTTCTTTTATGGTCTCTGATAATTTCCCCCCTACTGTTTTCTCTTCTTGGATTTATAGTTAGTTGGATATTGGACCTCCTGGACTGATCATCTATTTTTCTTATCTTTTCCATTTGCCTGTTTCTTTATGTTTACTCTGAGATTTTTCTAGAAATTTATTTTTTAATCCTTTTACTGTTTTTTTTAAGCTATCATATTTGTCATTCCCCAGAGCTTTGTCATTTTTTCTTTTTCTTTTATTTATTCATTTTTTAAAAATATTTTTTATTTATTTGAGACGGAACACAAGCGGGGAGGAGGATCAGAGGGAGAGGGAGAAGCAAACTCCTCGCTGAGCGGGGAGCGTGACGTGGGGCTCAATCCCAGGACCCTGAGATCATAACCCGAGCCGAAGGCAGATGCTTAACTGACTGAGCCACCCAGGCATCCCTCATTTTTTCTTTTTATAGCAACCTATTTTATGAGTACATTATCTTATTCCTCTGAGGGTATTAATGATAATTCTTTGTAATATTCTTTTGTTCTATGCATTGTACTTCTTTTCTAAGTTCTTATTTTCTTTGAGTTTGATTTAGTCTCTTTCTTCCATGTGAAAGGCCTTCTTTAGATGCCTGGTGTCCTTCACTGATTATTCATATTTAAGAGTAGAACTCTGAAAAGCTGATCAGAAGTTCCATCTGTTTAGGACAGTCATGTGGTTAGCTGGCAATTGACTGAGAACCTCGAAATATCATTGTAGTCAGTTGGTGCTGAGAAAGATCCTCTATTCTTTTGCCTAGAAAAAGCATCCTGGAGCTGAATGGGAGAGAAGAGATGAAGATCTTAACCTTTCAACATGCAGACCTTCACTGAAGTCAAATTTTTACTTTAGCACTTCACTCTGTATCTGATCCTTCACTCTTTTTTTTTCTGGAGAGTACACCTTTCCAAGTGCTAGTAATCTACCTGTTTTTAGTCCTCCACCTTCTGCCTTCTGCAGTCCCTCATGACTCTTTTTTTTTTCCTTTCTTGCTTTTTATTTTTGTCTCCAGTTTTTGAACCTACTAAGGTTCTATAGATGGAATCAACTTCTTTTGAGTTCTCTGTGCAGGCATTTAGATTTGATCATATTCCACTCCACTGAGTCATGTACCATTGCTTTATCCCACTCTGTTTTCTTCATTTTTGAGGTGTGGAGTTAGATGCATTTCCTAGTTTTATTGAAAATGGGTTATGTGTGTTTGGTTTCTTGTTCTTTTTGTTTGGGATTGATTTCTGAAGAGATCACACTGTCTTAAAACAAGTCTTACTACAAAACTATATTAAAAGACAATTGAAACAACTTTTAACAAAAATTGTAGGGTTTGTAATACCTTGATCTTTATCTTCCTGATTTTCACTTAAGCAGTAAACATGACTTATTAGTTTAAAAGCTGAGGAACAAATATGACCACAACTTTATTGGTGATTGTCTTTTTTTTTTAAGTTTATTTATTTATTTAAGTAATCTCTACACCCAGTGTGGGGCATAGAGTCACATGCTGATGCTGTTCTGACTGAGCCAGCTGGAATCACCCCTGGTGATTGTCTTAAAAGAAGCAGTTTAGATATTCTGAACATCACTTTCTGTATCAATAAGTCAGTATTAATCTGCTGTCTGGCTTTCCCATTGGAATCATTTGATAGTAATGATGTTTTCATCTATAAAACATGTTAGGTATAGAATTGGAGATAGTATAGTAATGCTTGTCCTAGAAATGTTGAAAGAAGTACTGGTCAAGATTCTTAGGTTAATTTATTCCTTTTGATATATTTTATAATCAGGGCTGACCATAATTAATCATAATTCTATCTTGAGTGAAGTATGTTTCTGGCATGGACATCTTTAATGAAAAGAAGAGGGTGTTGTTTTTCCGCTGCTGGTGGATAGGTACAGTGTATTGGGAAATCCATAGACTTAATTACTGCTAAATGTCAGACCTCGTTTTTAGCCCCGGGCATTCAAAACCTAACTTGCTCGCCTCTCCTTTTGCTTGGTTACCATTCCCTCCCACTCTCAGGGTTTTTCTTTCCCCAAGCTTGGCTAGAGAGTCAGATGCTGTCTCATGTTTTCCTTGCTGTCCCTGAAAACAAGCTCACAGCATAAATAATGAAAGTGAAGAGGTTGCTAGGGTTAAGTCCAGAATTTTAATTCCTAACTAGATAAGATGTATGCTGCCTTTGAGTTTCTTTATTCTGATTTTATAATTATTAACCCTCCTGAACTCTGTACGCAGTAAGAACATATCTCTTTCCAGCCTTGAAGATCAAATCAAAGTAGAACCACGTGTCTTCTTATCTTAAATGAGGTATTTGCATCTGGACAGTCTGTTTGAATTTATCAGTTCTCCTGGGATTTTTTACAGGAATGGTACTATTTGGGTATTTTCTCAGGGTGGAATGTTGAGGAAAAGACTTTCTCTTCCTACCAGTTGCAACAAAAATGTACCCTGGGAGCAAAGTACTATTGCCCATGGCATTAATTCAGCCCACACTGTAAATTTTAGACCCTTTGGCTAAAGGCTTGTGGTTCACAGATTGGTCATACTTCTTCCATTCCTTTTACTGAATCAATTGAGAACTGGCAATGTGCCAGGCATTACACTAGATACTAGGATTTAGCATTTGAGGCAAATGTGGTCTCTTCCTCTCACTCTGCTTACATAATTCAAGGGAAGAACTGTTAAGTTTATTCTTACAATTTCTCTTCTATCTTGTCAAAATCCTTTCTACATTGAGGTTGAAACCTCCCTTACCTTTTATCATTTTTTTTCTCACTCCTAAGCCTTGTCATCTTGTATGTCTTCGCTGTCCTTATATTAGATAAGTAATCAGTAGCCTAGCCTTTCTAATTCCTTGATCTCAACTCTGTCAGCTTTTACTTCCATTCCACTCTACCAGCCCCCATAGCTGTATTCTCCACCTCTGAAGTACTGGACTACAATAGAACAATAACTTCTCACTTCTTTATTCCCACAATGCTTGGTCTTTGGCTTTCAACCTTTTAGTCCTTTGACCTTCCTGGGTTTTTTCTAAAGTTCTTAACCCCCTTCTTATTTCACTTTATTCTGAATCCAGCCTAATCAGCATGATCTGCCATTTCAGTCACTTGCTAGCCCCAATTGACCTTATGTTTAGGAAAGTCCTTTTTTTTTTTTTAAATTTTATTTATTTATTTGACAGAGAGAGAGACAGCAAGAGAGGGAACACAAGCAGAGTGGGAGAGGGAGAAACAGACCTGCTGCCCAGCAGGGAGCCCGGCAACGGGGCTCAGTCCCAGGACACTGGGATCATGACCTGAGCCAAAGGCAGACACTTAACGACTGAACCACCCAGGTGCCCCTGGGAAAGTCCTACTTTTAAAAGTTTAGTTGTTGGGGCACCTGGGTGGCTCAGTCCTTGAGCGTCTGCCTTCAGCTCAGGTTATGATCCCAGGATCCTGGAATCGAGCCCCACATCAGGCTCTCTGCTCTGCGGGAAGCCTGCTTCTCTCTTTCTCACTCCCCCTGCTTGTGTTCCCTCTCTCGCTGTCTCTCTCTCTCTGTCAAATAAATAAAATCTAAAAAAAAAAAAAAGTTTGGTTGTTAATGTTCCTTTATTCCTGTATCTCAGTTACTGAGCATTGCTGGCAGAAATCACATAAACTTGTAGATTGCTGCTAGGACAAATTCGTAGTCCCCAAATCATTTGGACCCTCAGTATTCACCAGCTATTTTTCTTTCCTTCTTTCCCTCTTCCTTCCTTGCTTCCTTCCTTCCTTTCTTTTTTTAAGATTTTATTTATTTGCCACAGAATTGAGAGAGGAGAGCGCACAAGCAGTGTCAGGCAGAGGGAGAGGGAGAAGCAGGCTTCCTGCTGACCTGGGAGCCCGATGTGGGGCTCGATCCCAGGACCCTGGGATCATGACCTGAGCTGAAGGCAGACACTTAACTGACTGAGCCACCCAGGCGCCCCACCAGCTGTTTTTCTTCATGTCCCTAGACAACTTCTTCTGTTCTCTATAACTTTGCTATCAGTCCCTCTTACCTCTTTAGTAGACTGCCTCTCTTCCTATTTGAGGCTGTCACATGTGATTTCCTTCCAATTCCTGTTCTAATCCCTACCCCTAATACCATATTAATCTGCATTTTCATTTGTCCTTACTTCCTTCTCTCCAGTGTTAGTAAGAGATAAATTCCTCTCCTTTCCAAGGTTAAGCCCTCTCTTTAGATTGTTTTGGAGCCTATCTCTTTCTGCCTGTTAGGGGTCTTTGTCACGTCTTTCTCTTTTTCCATCCTCTATCCTTACTTCTTTCTTTGTTTAAGTATATTCGTGTCTTTTCCATATTTAGTAAAACAAATCCTTCTTCTCACAAAGTCTTCCTATGGCTTCCACCCTCTTTGCCTTTCATAGCTGACTTTCTTGAGAAGTCATGTTTTATTATTTTTTTCATTCACTATATTTTGACTTAATGACTCTACTATTTCAATAAAACTCTTGTCATCACCAGTCTCCTAATGGCTGAATTCAGTGGTCTTTACTTAATTCATCCTTAATTTACTTCTCTGTTACATTGAAGCTATTGACCACAGCATTTTTTTTTTAAAGATTTTATTTATTTAATTGACAGAGAGAGAGAGCATGAGAGGGAACACAAGCAGGGGGAGTGGGAGAGGGAGAAGCAGGCTTCCCGCTGAGCAGGGAGCCCGATGTGGGGCTCGATCCCAGGACCCTGAGATCATGACCTGAGCCGAAGGCAGATGCTTAACCAACTGATCCACCCAGGCGCCCGACCACAGCATTTTGAAACTCTGTTTTCTTGACTTATGTGATTCTACTTTACTAATTTTTCATCTTATCTCTTAAGTCTCTTGCCTCATAGACTTTCTCAAAATTATTTATTTAAAAAACTCAAACCTCCTGAGCAGTTAAAAAATAATGTTTGAGGGTGCCTGGGTGGCTCAGTCGGTTGGGCATGCCTTTGGCTCTGGTCATAGTCCCAGGGTCCTGGGATCGAGTCCTGCATCATGGTGTTTCACCCTTATTTTCTTTAGTTTGTATCTCTTAAGAGTAAGGGCATTTTCACATATAATCACAGCGTAATTATCACATTTGGGAGACTTACCATTGATAAACAGTGCTGTTTTCTAATACATCGTCCATACTCAGATTTCCTCAGCTGTATCAGTTTATCTTTTATAGCTGTTTTATTTTGTTTTTAATATTTGGGATTTAACCAAGGATCACATATGCATTGAGTTATCCTGTCTCTTTAGTTCCTTTATTCTGGAGCCATTTCCCACCCTTTTCTTTTGTCTTTCATGACATTTACATTTTTTGAAGAGCTCAAGCCAGTTGTTTTGCAGAATATCCCTTAATTTGGATATGTTTGATTGTTTACTCATGAAAACACCTAAATTTTAAATTAGGTTAAATACTTTTTGCAGGAATATTATATTCTCAGTGTATGGTATAATAGGGATATGAATATTCCATCCTAATAATCTTTTACCCAGTGGTTTTATCATCCATTGTTTCTTATCTAAATCAAATATTACTATGGTGATTACAAAATGGAGACTTTTCTATTTTGCCATTTTGTTTCTGTATTGTCATTCTTCTATAAAGAGCTTTTTATACTTCCTTTTTTAAATTTAATTTTTTAAGAGTCAGTATGGACTTTTTATTTTCAGTGTGTTATCCATTTCTTTCATTATTCATTTTGGTTCTCAAATTGTCCTAAATTTTGCTAGAGAGAACTCTTTTAAGATGGCTTCTATGTCCCTGATATGTCCTTGTCAGTTTTTGAGTACTTCCTGGTATAATAGAGTGCTCTGGATTTCCCTTGCACTTTCCCTAACTCTGGCTTAGAACCATCTTTTTCTCTAAGGAACCCTGGTTTCTTTTGGTGGAGAAACCAAGATCTGGGTGCCAGCTATGCTCCTTACTACTAAAGTTTCTGGCTCTTTCAGTGGGTAGAGCTAGGAGGTTTTTCTTTTTAAATCATGGCTTCATATTGATATCCCTAATTCCAGTCTAGTTCCATAGGGCTTTTCTTATCTCAGTCCATATTTACATCTCTGGTTTTCCACAGTGAGAAGCCTGGTAGTAACATCAATAAATTTACTCATTTGCTCAGTCGTACAATATATGCATAATAGTTTGAGAATTACAATATCAATATTATTAACAGCTACAAACCTACTAAGTGTGGCATAAGATTTCTTTGCAATTTTTGTTATGCTTACATATATGTCATTAAGAGTGTGCTGTGTAAAGTTATTTAAATATCTTTTTTCTCCTATGGTAAAATTATCAGGGTAATATTCAATTACATTTATATATTTCTGTTGTGTTCAGTTTTATTTCCCTCCCCCATCGTTGCTGATTTAATTTAAGTTTTGGAATGTATAAAATATTACCATGGTTCAGAATTCAAAAACCTCCATTTTATAATCACAATAATATTTGATTTAGGTAAGAGGAAAAAAAAATTTGATTTAGCTAAGCTAAAACCATTGAGGTTTTATTCCAAAGATGTATTCAGAAGTCTAGTCCCATTACTTAATCTTTCCACCGTCATTAGCTTTTGGTTTATCTTAGTTGTGTTCATTATTGAAGATCTAAGGAGATACATATACATATTCTTGTTTCCCCTTTCTTACACAAAAGGTAGTGTACTGTGATACTGTTAGGCCATGTATGCTCTTTTGTACCTTGCTTTCATAGAGATAGTCCCCGTTCTTTTTATAGCTTTTTTTACACATTAGGTAGATAGTCCATAGGTTTTTATCCAATATTCTATACATGGGCATTTAGATTGTTTCTAACATTTCACTTTTGTAAATAATATTGCAACTAATAACCTTGTGTATATGCATTTTCATGTTACTGGAGATGTACCAGAACTTAGTCCTAGAATTTAGACTTAACATGTCCAAAACAATGCATCATTTTCCCAAAACTTTTTTCTTGACTTCCATTTCCTGTTACTGAATGATAACCATTGTTCTGTTACTTATGCAGAAACCGTGGTATCATCATTTCTTCTCAACCTAGTCAGCAAGGGCTGATAATACATCTTTATCTTTTCTTTTTTTATTTTTTCCACCTTCATTTTCCTTTTCCCTTTTTTTTTTTTTTTTAAGAGGGGGTTGGGTAAGGGTAGAGGGAGAGGGAGAGAATCTTAAGCAGCTGCCGTGCCCAGCATGGAGCCCATTGCCAGGCTCAGTCTCACCACCATGAGATCATGACCTGAGCTGAAATCAAGAGTCGGATGCTTAACTGACTGAGCCACGCAGGTGCCCCCCAACTTCATTTTCTTAGTTACAGGTCTTACTTTACTTAGTTTACTGTACTAGCCTCCTAACTGGTCTCATTTCTTCCCTAAAATTCCACACTGCTACTAAAACTGTCTTAAAGCCAAGGGTTATTCATTTTCAGAACCTCAACATTTTTCCTCTGCCTCTAAGATAAGATTCACACGCTTTTGCCTAGATACCTAGGCCTTCCATTTCCTGGTCTCCACCTACATCGACAGCCTAATCTCTAGCCACTTCTAACCATACTGAACTACTTATAGATTCCCTAGACATGTCCTGTCAAGCCTCTTTGGCACTGGAAATGCTTTTTTTTTTTACCCTCTGTATTTCATTTTAATAATTTTTTATGATACAGTTTAGGTACTGCCACCTCCAGGAACACTTCTTGCCATGTCAGATGTAGTTCCTCTGTTCTCCCAAAGCACCTTGTGCTTACCTGCAGTGACTTCTGTCTCTTCCCCAAGACTTTGGACTCCTATAGGCTGGAGACTTTTGTTAGTTCTTCTTTCTTATTACAGAGCCTGGAGCATAGTAGACATTGACAGTGAATATATGAATAAACTTCACCTGTTTACATTTTTTAAAAAGGTATCTTTAGGTTGTCATTTTACATGTTCACTGCAAAAAATCCGAACAGTGCAGATATATATGAGAAGTGAATGTCTTCCATTATTCCTATCTCAGTCTCTAGTGGGAACTATGATTAATAGTTTAATATTGGCAAGAAAAGCACAAAATAGATTTTCCAGTTACTATAGAATAAAAATGTCTACTGTTTTGTTCTTATAGATCATCTCTTTTCCTTTAGGCAATGATAGTAAGAAATGCTAAAGATACAGCTCATACAAAAGCAGAACGGAATATTCTGGAGGAAGTAAAGCATCCCTTCATTGTGGATTTAATTTATGCCTTTCAGACTGGTGGAAAACTCTACCTCATCCTTGAGTATCTCAGCGGTCAGTACACTCAGTTTGGTGTAATTATTTGCATTTGCTCCAGAAACTGGGTCAAACATTATTTTCCATTGGAAAAATGCTTTTTCCCCAATGTGATTAAATAGTTCTTAAAATTGACAAATACATTGACATAAGGAATTCAGATGTGACCATATGTTTCTTTTCACAGACAAATATGAAGGAAACTTGAAAGGTTAAGTTTTTTCCCCATCTGTAAAACTTTATCTTAATCCTAATCCTTTTGTAATCAATTACTTAAAATAAACACCTAACTGATACAGAGCCATCACATTGACTGCCCTCGGGTAAGATACTATAATTCAAATGAATCATCAAAGCCATTTCTTTCTAAACTCAAATGGAAAACTTACTGAGAGTATTTAAGATGTTGAGTATTTTTGAAATTGCATCTCTAAACAGAAGAATTTTTTGGTTGAATGTAGCCTTTTTGATAGATTATGCAATTTACGTAGGAAGACATCCACAATTTCCAGGGCTTACTACCTCCTCGAAACTTGTTGCTTCTTACCATTTCTAGATCACAGGTATCTATTTCCAGCCAACATATTTGAGTTTTCTGAAAAGCAGGTTTCACAAAGGCCTGTAACATGGAACAGAAAGCTGCAGAATTTAGCAACTTTTTTGTGACTGTTGTTGCCTTTTTTTGGGTAACTTGATTTTGACATAATTTCAGATTTACACAGAAAAGTTGCAGAAATAGTACAAAGACTTCCCACATACCCTTCACCTAGATTCCCCAAGTGTTATCATTTTACAGTTGTTTCGTTTCATCCTTCTTTTCTCTCCCTCTCTCCGTATATGTATACGTATGTATTGGTGTGTGTATATGTATATGTGTGTATGTATGTATATACATGTATATGCATATATATGTATACATGTATATGTATATACATAATTTTTTTCTGGATTGCTTAAGAGAGTGTTGCAGACATGATTTCCCATTACCCCTAAATACTTCAGTGTATATTTTCTAAAATCAATGACAGTATCTTAACTCTACTAAAATTATCAAAACTGGAAATTAACACTGATACAGTAATATCTTTCAGGTTCCTTTAATTTAGAACAGTTCGTCAGGCTTTCTTTGTCTTTCGTGACCTTAACATTTTTGAAGAATATAGGCCACTTATTTTGTAGAATGCATCAATTTGGGCTTATCTGATATTTCCTCAAGATTAGAATCAGGTTATGCATTTGGGGAGGACCGTCAAAATGACATTGTGTCCTGCTCTGTCAGATCAGGAGGTACCTGATGTTTATATCTTTGTCCCATTATTGTTGATGTTCACTTTGATCACACTTATAAGGTGGTGTTGGCCAGTGTTTTCCCTGGTGAAGTTTTCCCTTTGTAATGAATAAGTATCTTGAGATACTTTGGGATTATTGAAATATCTTGTCTCTCATCAAGCTTTCACATACAGTTTTAGCATTCATTGATTCTTGCTTGAAACAGTTAACTATAATGATTGCCAAGTGATTTTTTTTATTCCATCGTGCCTCATTCATTATTTGGCATTCTGTAACAAAGAGCTTTCCCTTCTCTCCCATTTTAAAACTTAATTTATTGATCTCTTCATTGATTTACATCATTGCGGGCTCATGGATTATAAGATTATTCAGTGGGATTTAATTCTTTATTATCATTATTTTGATATTCAAAACAGTGCCATGCTTTTAATAAAGCTGCTGCTGGGTTCCTCTGGATTAAGAGATCTGAAAATATGGAATAAGGGCATTCACTAATTTTAATTTGTAAGGGTGGCTTAATTATATACTAACATTTTTCTGCTTAGGGTAAAATGTGAGAGAAGTTTTAACCAAGATTATCTTTTTAACCTCAGGTCTGGAATCTATAACTATTTTGAAGTTTAAAGATGTACAAACCTGGAACTCCAAAATACATATTTCACGTAAAAATAAGAACACTGCTAAAAATAGAATCCTGAAGACTTAGTTTTAAACCTGTAGTTTTTAGAATCTGTTTTTTATTTTTAAGGGACTGATATCTTTTAACTGTGCTTAGAAATGGGTTGGAAATGAAGATTGTTTTATTTCTAATATCTTTTCCTTTTCTTTACAGGGGGAGAATTATTTATGCAGTTAGAAAGAGAGGGAATATTTATGGAAGACACAGCCTGGTAAGTGAAATTTTTGTGGTTGCAGGGATTCAGGTAATGATTCATAGAATTAAAAGCAAAGTCCTGTTCCCACTGTGGGCAGCCAAATGATTCAATAAATTGTTCTGGAGCCAGTCAGTCACTCAGGACTTCAAGGGGGAGAAGCATCTTTGGGACGGGGCAGCTTTTGGAGGTCACATCATTCCTTTGCCCCCAGGCCTTGGGTGGAACGCTCTTCACGCCAGTTCCTAACAGAACCATTCTCACTGGGGCTTTCTTTCCTTGAATTGGTAAGCTGCCTGCCTTGGCTGTGGGTGAGTGTGGTTTTCCGGTGAAACTTTATGTCTGGAACAATGGAAAGTATCAGAAATCATCTCCTCTTTTTTTTTAGACTTTCCAGTTCCCAAGGTGCAGTCTTAGGGAGGTGATAAGCCGGCACACATCATCTGTGGATTGAGTCTATGGCCAGGATGGGATCTACCCTTATATTTCTTAAGATGGCATCTGCTTCAAATTAAAAATATATACATCCTTTTGTGAGATGACAGTATTGGGTAACAATAAATCAGTTTATCCTACACATTAATTGAATAGAAAACACTTAAATGTTTTTTCTACCTTAATTACCAAACTGCATTCCATTGTTTAATTTCAGGCCTTTTCTAACACAGAAGCTGCATTTAAGAGCCTTAGGGATGAAGTACCCTTTTTTGGAGGAGGCTCTCTGAGCCGTGTTGGAGGCTGTATTTGTGGTTCTGCTGGCTGTGAAACTGCCTCAGTCCTCTAGGACACACCCTCTCCATCCTGGAGTAATCTGCAGGATTGCAACATTGTTATGCAGCCAGTATTGCAGTGCCTTGTGCTTTTCGAATCCAGACAGGGTTGACTCAGCCCTTTATTCTTTTGAGGTAGATAAATTTGAGTGTCACACAGTTTATAGTTGTGGGCTGGCTGGCAAGAGGGCGGGCAGATACTGTGGGCATGAACTGTATATAAATATGCAGCTATATTAAGGGATGAGCGGGCTTCTAAGGGTCAGGTTATTTATAAGGTATCTTTTGAAACTAAGACTTGCTGTCTGAGAATAACAAAGTTCCTATGTCCTATGGGATTTTAAAATTGGGGGTGGGTGGGAGTAATTTGCTCTGATTTGAATGACTATTGGCCTAATTCCTACACAAATAGAACAAAAACCAGTGACAGTTTGGCATATTCTGGACTTCTTTGCAATTAGCAGTATGTTCTAATGATGAAACAAAACATTTTATAGTTTCACTAAATAAGTGAAACATAAATGTCACCATGCCTTTTGGCAGCATCCTATGCCATCTCTTTCCCCCATACCCACCCCCATCCCCACTAATTTGGTCTTTGGTGCATGTGTATTTCTTTCAAGGAATTTTGCTCCATACATAAACTGCTTTGAGTATATTACTCTTTTTAATTTTATTAAATCACTTTTGTTTCCAGCTTTTACTTGGCAGAAATCTCCATGGCTTTGGGGCATTTACATCAAAAGGGGATCATCTACAGAGACCTGAAGCCGGAGAATATCATGCTTAATCACCAAGGTGGAGATATACCGTAAACCATTCTATAGTAAATAATCATCTTAAAATCCTCCCACACAGGTCATGGTCATTTACAAAGCCCCATAGTCATGTATCTATTATACATTGCTCCCTCAGAATTTATGGCATCATAATACTTGCTGAGATTTAGGTATTTAGATATTTGTGATTGATGAGATTAGAGGGAGTTAGGAATAACTGGCCACTTAACTGTGTTTTTTGGTTTAGTCCTTGCTCTCTATAGCTTGTCATTCTTTTGAAATCTTTATATAACATGTGGTGAGTCAAAAGCCAGTCCAAACTTTAATTTTGTTTTCTTCCTTAAATTGGAAAGTAGATCTTAACCCTATAAATTGAGTTTTCCTTAATGATAAAAATACATAAATACTAGAAGCAATGCTTTTTATTTATTTATTTTTTTAAAGATTTTATTTATTTATTTGACAGAGAGAGACACAGTGAGAGAGGGAACACAAGCAAGGGGAGTGGGAGAGGGAGAAGCAGGCTTCCTGCTGAGCAGGGACCCCGATGCGGGGCTTGATCCCAGGACCCTGGGATCATGACCTGAGCCAAAGGCAGACACTTAATGACTGAGCCACCCAGGCGCCCCAGAAGCAATACTTTTTATGATAAATTGTATTAATGCTGTAAAAAAAGGATTAGAATTGAACCAAAATATTTGATGTAGCCTTGGAAAGAAAATGTTTAGTAGGCATCAGTTTATTCTTGCTGTTTGTAAAAACAAACATAAAAATCAGAAAGGCTAATATTCTGTACAGGTGTAGGTAGAGCAAATTGAGTCTTCATTACAAGTGCATGCTGCTATAGACAGTTTGATTTATGCAAGAGTAATTTGGGCTAGGTAGACTTCACAGCTCACTTATACCCCAAAGGAGCAACTAGCCAACCAGGCTGTCGGGTTGCTGGTAGCAGTTGCTGATCCTTCAATGTCTACAAAATGATTCATGAGGTGGTTAAGGGTTAAGGGTTTTAAATTCTTGGACAGGAAATGGTGTGGACAACTGACACTAGTATGAATATGTTTCATATTATGCTTTTTTTTTTTTTTTAAGAGAAATGCTCTACTTAACCAAGTACTTCATTGTGAATCTATGTATCTGTCTCCCTCCCAGTTCTGCTCCCATCCCCCCAAACCTGGATTCTGATTCTGAATTCTAAGGCAAAGGATAGAATAGGGAAATGACTAGTTAACTTCTTTGATCCATAAGCTTGAGTGTGTCAGGTGGCTCTGTGAAAATAAAGGTCATATTTTTTTCTGTGTCAGAGTAAAGTACACATTTACATTTGTACCAATAGGCCATTGCCTTTTCTTTTCTCTGAAATAAACCTGGAATAGTAGGGTCCCTGGGGTGGTTGAACCACTGGATATCTAATAACAGTTCAGTAAAGCTAAGCTTGAACTGAAATGTTCTTTGTGTAAGGTGGTGAGTTTTCCACTTTCTGGATTAGAGATGACAGTCCCATGCCATAGCAATTTCATTTCTTTTTCTGACCTGGCAGTATTGGCATAATAAGCTAACTTGTTATAGTGACTTTCTGAGACTATTTAAAAAACTGTCCAGTCACAGTTCACTGTGGTAAAAAGTTATATATTTGAAATACAGTGTCAGACCTTTAAAAGGTGCAGCATAGCTTTATTAGGGTTTGTGTACTTAAACCAGACTTTCAGAAATTTTTCTTGAAAGGGCTTGCTTTCTCAGGATGGTAGAGCTAGAGGCTTGGACAAGCTGTTTTACTTTTTTTCTCTATTTTCCTTTTATATTACATCATTGGCAAAAAATGACTGTGTTAACTTTAAAAAGTTAGCATCCCATTTTATGGATGGCACCTTACTAGTTGTATCTTCAAAAAATATTTAAGGCAGAAAAAGTTAAATGGAAGGCTAGATTATTGTCTTGTATGATACATTCAAACACTGCACATGTTTAGAGTTCTCAGAATAACTATGCTGTGATCTTTCATTGTAGGTCATGTGAAACTGACAGACTTTGGACTATGCAAAGAATCTATTCATGATGGAACAGTCACACACACATTTTGTGGAACAATAGAATACATGTGAGCTGCATGTTGAAAGAAATATAACTGGTTTGGGGGAGTAATAGCTAACTTTTACCTGGTTTAATAGTGTGCTATATATTTTCTATAGCATCATTTGGCTCCATATATTGTTTTTAAACTTCTAATTCAGATGATATGCAAATGGGTAAATTTTTTAGGCATATTATTTTTCTCATTGTAGGGCCCCTGAAATCTTGATGAGAAGTGGCCACAATCGTGCTGTGGATTGGTGGAGTTTGGGAGCATTAATGTATGACATGCTGACTGGAGCAGTAGGTGCACAGTTAAAAGCTGCATGTATTATGGTCTGTGCTGAGTAGTTATTAAATCATTATGGCAAGAGACCTTTCCTGCGCTTTTTAAAAATGTTACTGATGGAGTTATTAAAAAAAAAATAACACTAATAATGCTTTATTGGTAGTAGAATGGGTCCCTATACTTTTAAAAACATTTTTGTTAAAATGATCTGTCATGTCAGTCCTGTGAAAGAGGTATAAAATAGATACTGCCCTTATTTTATAAAAGGAGAAAGTAAAGCATAAAATCACATGGCTAACCTATTATAACATAAAGTTAATAGTGGAAACCCAGTTTCTTCTGAGATGTTGCTATTTCTTCTTTCCCATTGCTTAAAAACTATAGATCTTTAGCAGTCAGCCAATATCACAGCATACATTTCTGATTTCTATGCATAGCTGACTAATTCAGAAAATGGATAATTTTATTTTCTATATGCTAATTTTTCTCACTCTCTTCTATTCCTAGCCCCCGTTCACTGGGGAGAATAGAAAGAAAACAATTGACAAAATCCTCAAATGTAAACTCAATTTGCCTCCCTACCTCACACAAGAAGCCAGAGATCTGCTTAAAAAGGTAGGACACGAAACGATAACCCTTAACTACTGGGATCTAAATAGATAGAATTGAACATACATTTTTGAATAAAGAATCATACACATATATCAAACAAAAAAGCCTACAGTTTTTGCAGGTAAAGTACAAATTTGTTTGTTTAAAGATTTTCTTTCTTTGGGGTGCCTGGGTGGCTCAGTTGGTTAAGCGTCTGCCTTTGGCTCAGGTCATTGATCGATCACAGGGTCCTGAGATCAAGCCCCGCGTTGGGCTCCCTGCTCAGCAGGAGTTTGCTTCTCCCTCTCCCTCTGCCCCTTCCCCCCCCCCCCAACCCCACCGGCTTGTGTGTGCTTTCTCTCTCTCTCTGCTCTCTTTCTCTCAAATAATTAATTAAAAAAAAGATTTTTCCTTTTTATTCCCAAGCAGTATTTAGTAGTAATTAATAGAACCTATTTTCTCAAAATAGAGAAGCAATATAGACAAGCAAATTCTGTAAATAAAAAATAACCAATTTGACTAAGGTTCATAAATGTTTTGTTTTGTTTTCCCTCCCTAAAGCTGCTGAAAAGAAATGCTGCTTCTCGGCTTGGAGCTGGTCCTGGGGATGCTGGAGAAGTTCAAGTAGGGATTGGCCTTTTTGGTGGTTTGAGGGGAAGATAGTGCTAATTCTATGTATTTGTGAGGTTGTATGGAGTTGTTTAAAGTATAGCTTATTTTGTGGGGTATCTGGGTGGCTCAGTTGGTTAAGTATCTGACTCTTGGTTTTGGCTCAGGTCATGATCTCAGGGTCTTGGGATCGAGCCTTGTGTTGGGTCAGCTTGAGAGATTCTCTCTCCCTCTCCATTCCCCTCTGCCCTTCCCACTGCTCATGTTCATGCTTTCTCTCTTCTCTCAAATAAGTAAAATCTAAAAAATAAATAGTATAGTTTATTTTGTGATTTGTAACTTCAAACAGTTAATTTGTCAATCCAATGAAGTCTGTTCGCCTTGACTTTTCTTCCTGTTCTTTTTTCCTAGGCTCATCCATTCTTCAGGCATATTAACTGGGAAGAACTGCTAGCTCGGAAGGTGGAGCCCCCCTTTAAACCTCTGTTGGTATGTATACATGAAACCATATAACTTGAAGGACCTGGTACTTTTTTAGAATAAAATCTCAGAGCATTCAGAAAAGTTATGTTTATATTAACAATTCAGAAAACTTTGGTTTATGTTCTCTTCAGAATCTTTATTCTGTACAGTCTTTTCAAGGACTACTGCCAGCAGCAATTGATGAGTATATTAACTATTTTTAAGTTGGTTGCCTAAGACAACTAAATATTTCAAGTAGTTAGAACATTTTTGCTGTTTGCTTAATTCAACTGTATTTTATTTTTATGGAGTATAATCTTTTACTCTATTTTTTTATTTTTAACTTCTTTAAAGTTTTATTTATTTAAGTAATCTCTGTATCCCACATGAGGCTCAAAATCACGACCCTGAGATCAAGAGTCACATGCTCAGGGTACCTGGGTGGCTCAGTCAGTTAAACATCTGCCTTCGGCTCAGGTCATGATCCTAGGGTCTCTCTCTCCCTGCTCAGTGGAGAACCTACTTCTACCTCTGCCTCCTGTTTGCACTCTCTTTCTTTCTCTCTCTCTCTCAAGTAAATACATAGAATCTTAAAAAAAAAAAAAGTCACATGCTCCTCTGAGTCAGCCAGGTGCCCTTAATTTAATTTTTAAATTTTTTTTTTAAGATTATTTATTTGACAGAGAAAGCGAGAGAGGGAACACAAGCAGGGGGAGTGGGAGAGGGAGAAGCAGGCTTCCCACTGAGCAGGGACCCGGATGTGGGGCTCAATCCAAGACCCTGGGATCATGACCTGAGCAGAAGGCAGACACTTAACGACTGAGCCACCCAGGCGCCCCTCTTTTTTTTTTTTTTTTTTAAGATTTTATTTATTTATTTGGCAGAGGGAGCAGCAGAGGGAGAGGGAGAAGCAGGCTCTCCGCTGAGCAGGGGGCTTGATCCCAGTACCCTGGGATCATGACCTGAGCTGAAGGCAAACACTTAACCGACTGAGCCACCCAGGTGCCCCTTATTTTTTATTTCTAAATTGAAGTTTAGTTGACACATAATAATATATAAGTTTCAGGTATACAGCATAGTGATTTTAAGTTATATACATAACAAAATGCTCACCAGGGTAAGTGTGGTTACCCTCTGATTCAACCCTATTTTGAATTTGATTTTCTGGGAATTTTTTTCTTCAAAATATAGTATAAATGTGTATTAGTTTGCTAGGGTTGCTGTAACAAAGTACCACAAACTAGATGGCTTACACAGCAGAAGTTTATTGTATTGCAGTTCTGGAGACTAGATGTCCAAGATAATGAATTGACAGGCTTGGTTCATTATGAAGGCTGTGAGAGCCTTCCGTTCCATTTTGTGCCTCTCTCCTAGCTTCTGGTGGTTTGCTAGCAATCTTTGGCATTCCTTGGCTTGTAGGCATATCACCCGATCTCTGCCTTTATGTTTGCAGAACAGTGTATTTATGAGTACATGAGTTAGTGTGTTAGTTCTTGTCTTTCTTCCACCTCAGAATTTGAGAAAATATAGTTTATTTTTCTATTTCTTGGAATGAAGGTGGAGGAGGAGGAAGATAATGATGATGATAATTTGGTTCTGGAGCACAAGGTGACTTGCTTTAAAATTTTCACATATATAATTGTAAGGAGGATAATTAACCCTTCTGTACCAACGGTCCGGCTTGTCAGGTCATCTTGTTTAAACATAAACAGAACTGCTAGCTATCATCACAACTAAAAAGCTGACAATTTCCCCGGTTTCTTTTGTTTTCTTTTCCTCTCTGTTGGTTTCTTCTAATAAGAATTCAGTTAAGGTTTATACAGTTTGGTTATCGTATCTCTTAGGTCTCTTTCCACCCCACTCTCGATTCCTTTCCTGAGTACTTACTGAAGAAACTGGACTGTTTGTCCTGTAGGGTTTCTAACTTTGATTTTGCTAATTTTAACCCCATAGTGTCATTGACCATATTCATCTGTTCCCTGTATTTCCAAAAACTAGTATTTAGATTTAGATACTTAATCTGCTTCAGATTAAACTTTTGGTGTTGTATATTTTAGTCAGGAGGCATAATGTGTATTTGTATTTTTTTTTACTGATGTTGTGATCATTGCCAACATCAGTGATTCTTAGGTATGGTCAATTTGGCAAGGTTCGGAGACAAGTTGTCATAACTTGGGGAGGGGATATTATTAGTTTGCAGTGGGTCGAGGCCAGAGATGCTGTTAAACATCCTCTTTTACATAGGACAGGCCCCTACAACAAGAATTATCAAGCCCAAAATGTCAGTAGTGCTGAGATTCAGAAACTCTGGCCTAGTTTCAGGATTTCAGTAGGGGTTTGCAAAATTGTCTTATTGTAATACTATTATTGATTCCTCATTAGTGAATTTTTCCCTAAAGAGAAACTTACATTGTTCATACAGGAAAGGCAGGATGAATGTTTGTTTCTTTCCCAGTTTTCAAAATAATAAATTAGTTCTTTAACATCTTCCAAAATTGACCAGTTCTGTGATTTTTTTTTTTTCAGTATAATTATGAACTTATGCCTTTTGGGGCACCTGGGTGGCTCAGTCGTTAAGCATCTGCCTTCGGCTCAGGTCATGATCCCAGGGTCCTGGGATCGAGCCTCGCATCGGGCTCCCTGCTCAGCGGAAGGCCTGCTTCTCCCTCTCCCACTCCCCCTGCTTGTGTTCCCTCTCTCACTGTCTGTCTCTCTCTGTCAAATAAATAAAATCTTAAAAAAAAAAATTATGAACTTATGCCTTTTAATATATTTGTTTCAATCCACTGCAGTAATTTTTACTGATGCTTAGTTTTTATCATCTTTTGACCCTGGGTTCTTTAGCTCTTTTGACATGACCACAAAGTCTGATGATGTGCCAGAGAGAAGGAATTAAACAGATGTGGTGGTTAGATTTAGGTGATGTTTTTCATAAGAAAATGTACTCATTCAGAGTAAAATATCATTTTTGCTCCTTGAGAAATCTGTAGCAGGATGAAATAAGCTATGGGAAGAAGCTTTAGAGCATTTTACAAATGTGTTTTGTGTTAAAACTGTTTCAGTAGTTTTTCAGGTTTATTATAAACCTGCAGTGGCCAGCTGAGCAAATTATATCTAATAGGGAATTTAGCCAGTGGACTAGGCGCCCTGAAGCTTTGAAAGTGGGGAAGATTGACATTCAAATTTTTTTTGACAGATTTAAAAAAAAAATGATGAGCGTGTTCTAAAATCTACTTTAATAAATGCTTAAAAATTGAAGATGTAATTTGACCTTTGAAACTTTCCATCTGGGGGCACCTGGGTGGCTCAGTCGGTTAAGCAGCTGCCTTCAGCTCAGGTCATGAGCTTGGGGTTCAGGGATTGAGCCCTGCGTTGTGCTCCCTGCTCAGTGGGGAGTCTGCTTCTCCCTCTCCCTCTACCCCTCCCCACCATTTGTGCTCTCTCTAGCTCTCTTTCAAATATATAAATAAAACCTTAAAAAAGAAACTTTCCACCTGTATTTATTCTTCAGTCTGTGCCTGAAAATATTCTGATATTTTATTACAATCAAACCCTGTGAAGAGTTTTAGCTAGAGCCTTCTCTAATGCAAGTCATGCATTTGATTGATACGTATAATATAGACTATTCATCGTTTTCTAATTTTGTTTTTCACAAAGCAATCTGAAGAGGATGTGAGTCAGTTTGATTCAAAGTTTACACGTCAGACACCTGTTGACAGCCCAGATGACTCAACTCTCAGTGAAAGTGCCAACCAGGTCTTTCTGGTAAGTGAAAGAATTTCCATGTAGCCATGAGAAATTTAAGTATTAGGATGGACCCCTTTCTTTTTTTTAAAGATTTGATTTATTTATATATTTGAGAGAGCGAGAATGAGAGAGAGCACATGAGAGGGGGTAGGGTCAGAGGGAGAAGCAGACTCCCCGCTGAGCAGGGAGCCTGATGCGGGACTCGATCCCGGGACTCCAGGATCATGACCTGAGCCGAAGGCAGTCACTTAACCAACTGAGCCACCCAGGCGCCCAGGATGGACCCTTTTCAATAAGAAAATTCAATTTGTTTGCTTTGCAGTTGATGTAGATAACCTGGGATGCTATTTTTTATTAAGTTAATTTACAACTTGCTAAGTTAGAAAATGGATTCCCATAATCCAGTATTCCATTTCAGCAGTTAGAGTAGGACTGTCTGATTCTTTGGAGTATATGATTCCCTTTTTAGATGGGCCACTGACTTAAAATGATGTTTGGCTCAGTATCTCAATTGGAAGTCACACCGTTAGAATAGTAGGAGAAGAGCTCACCGTAACTATTCTATTCCTGGAATAGCTGCAGATTTTTGGTACATTTAGTGTAACTTTGTAGGGGATTTTTAACCTGTTAATTGTGAATATTTGACGTCAAAATATATTCGTTCATATGTAATAGTAAATTATTTGTAAAAGTATCTGTGTTGATTTGTACCTTGTCGCCTCAGAAAAGCAAAGCTTTTAGATTTTTAGATTTTTTACTTTTATTCAATTAACTTATTTATTTTTAAGATTCAATTAACTTATTTATTTTTAAGATTTTATTTATTCATCTGAAGAGAGAGAGACACAGAGAGAGAGAGCATGAACAGGGGAGAGAGGCAGAGGCAGAGGGAAAAGCAGACTCCCAGCTGAGCCGGGAGCCTGATGTGGGGCCCGATCCCAGCAGCCTGGGATCATGACCTGAGTTGAAGGCAGATGCTTAAACATCTGAGCCCCCCAGGCGCCCCAGCTTTTTAGATTTTTTAGATTTTTTTTAGAGCTTTTAGATTTTGATCAACAAAAACCTCATTTTATATCATTTCCTTTGTTACATAAAGTGAATCTCTTAATTTTTTATGTTTAAGATTTTTTATTTATTTATATGACAGAGAGAGAGAGAGCACAAGCAGGTGGAATAGCAGGGAGAGGGAGAAGCAGGCTCCCTGCTGAGCAAGGAGCCCAATGTGGGGCTCGATACCAGGACCCTGGGATCATGACCTGAGCTGAAGGCAGTTGCTTAACCAACTAAGCCACCCAGGTGCCCCTCTTAAAAACAAAAAACAGTAACATTCCACTTACCTGGAGACTGTGGTCAGAGCAACTTCAGTTCAATAATTATTTAAATTCCTATCGCAGAATTAAAGGAAGTTGAAAGATGATTAAGGCACAGCCTGGTCCTCTTGGTAGTTAGAGCTTTAGCCCACTAGACTATGTGGGGAAATGGTTTCTGAAGCATATGTGTACAGAATTGCACCTCACTTGTTAGGACTTCACCCAGAGGCTTATTGCATCTTCTTACTATAACTCAGAATGCCTATTCATAGGTGACTAGAATAATAAATAGAAGGGAAGGTTAGGTGGAGGACTGATTGTTAAAGGGATAAACATTACAGCAAGAGAAATGACACCTGGTAGTCTGATAGCAAGGTCCAAGAAAGAACTAAACCTAATAAAACTGCATAACTGCCTGTTACAATTGAGGGTTTTCACAATGTTGACCCTTATACATCAAGAAAATACCAAATCTATCCAATCATTGTTATAAAACCAGAGAGATCACACATGCCAAGTTAGAGAATTCTATTTTTACTTTGGCCTAATAACGAGAAACTGGGGTGTGATAATCTTAGTTGCTCATGTGTATGTGGGCTAGAAACACTAGAATTTTCTTTGCATTCGTCTTCGTATTTAATATCTTAATGTGGAGCCTACATTTTCCTGTTTTGTTTTTCTTTCAGCAAAGTAGAATATTGTTTACTGGCATATGGGACTCAATAGAATTCTGCCTTCTTGAGGTCTGTGCCTCAAGAAATGGCTGGAAAGAAGCTAACAGTTGTGAAATGAGATTGGGGAAATGGGAGGACACAGAGTGGTGATTTTAGCTGTGCACTGTTTTGGTGTGTCAGAGACTGAAACCACAGTTTCTTAATGTATATGACAAAACGCCATTCTTAAGTCTACAATTTCTATCTTTCAGGGTTTTACATATGTGGCTCCATCTGTACTTGAAAGTGTGAAAGAAAAATTTTCCTTTGAACCAAAAATCCGATCACCTCGAAGATTTATTGGCAGCCCACGAACACCTGTCAGGTATTCAGACTTTGTTATTCTCACATCTTTTTTTTTTTTTAACCTGGAAGAGTATGCTTAAGAAATTTATGCCATGTTACATAAATGGAAGATCTGTCATAGTCTCTGTGGTTGACATAAGCACAGCATCTACATCTTGTATTGTATGCTATATAGTTTACCGTCCATCCTGTGAAAGTAAGCTGTTGCACTGGCAAATGTCTTCTTTACCCATTCATTCAACATTTATTGTATACCAGGGGCTGTGTTGCATGATGGGGATACATGATTAACATAGAATTGTCCTTGTCCTGATGAAGCTTACAATTTAGTGAGAAGAGAGTTAAAATAACCAAAGAAGGAAATAGAAGAATTATGTAATCACAAGTAGTGTCAAGTTACTATATGAAGAAAAGTAAAAAGTGCGGTGGTAGTTAAGAATAACAGGGCGGCTCCTATTCATGGTGGTCAGAGAAAGGCCTCCCTGGTTAAGTAACATCTAAGAATGAAGAGAAAAAGCCACCCATACAAAAAATAGAAGTAAAGGATGTTACAGGTAGAGCAACAGCCCATGCAAAAGCCCTAAGGGAGGAAAAACTTGGTCTTGGAAATGAAAGGTCACTGTTCCTGATGTGTCGTCAGTGACGAAGAGAAAGGTTTGGAGAAGTATTTTATCTTAAATGCAATGGGAAGCTATTTTAAGTCGGGGGAGTAAAATGATTTAAAAAAAAAAAAAAAGTATCACTGAGGGTTTTACAGAGGCAGGTATAGAGGTAAAGAGACCAGTTAGGAAACTCTAACAATTAGTCTAGGGGAGCAATGGCCTTTGTACTAATTCACACAAAAATAAAATTAAATAAAAATAAATGTCACATTACCCCACTCCCTTGAAATTTAAGGGAAATATTTCTTGTTGAGATAATCCTTGAGATAAATGAATGATAGCTCTTCCTTGTCTTAAAGCCCAGTCAAATTTTCTCCTGGGGATTTCTGGGGAAGAGGTGCTTCAGCCAGCACGGCAAATCCTCAGACACCTGTGGAATATCCAATGGAAACAAGTGGAGTAGAGCAGATGGATGTGACGATGAGTGGGGAAGCTTCAGCACCACTTCCAATACGACAGCCGAACTCCGGGCCATACAAAAAACAAGCTTTTCCCATGATCTCCAAACGACCAGAGCACCTACGTATGAATCTATGACAGAGCAAAGATTTTAATGAATTTAAGGCAAAAAAGGTGGGGAAGGGATGTGTGAGCATCCTGTAAGGTGAAACAAGAAGACTCAAAATGACAGTCTTGAAGAGTCAGTGTCATTACATTTGAACACTTTGGACAGAGGAAAAATAAACATGGATTTTAAAAAATCAATCAATGGTGCAAAAAAAAAAACACTTAAGCAAAATAGTATTGTGGAACTCTTAGGCACATCAATTAATTGATTCCTAGCGACATCTTCTCAACCTTATCAAGGATTTTCATGTTGATGGCTCGAACTGACAGTATTAAGGGTAGGATGTTGCTTCTGAATCACTGTTGAGTTCTGATTGTGTCGAAGAAGGGTTATCCTTTCATTAGGCAAAGTATGAAATTGCCTGTAATACTTGCAACTAAGGACAAATTAGCATGCAAGCTTGTTCAAACTTTTTCCAGCAACATGGAATCAAAGACAAAAGAAACTTAACAATTGATGTTTTACGTGCAAACAACCTGAATCTTTTTTTTATATAAATATATATTTTTCAAATAGATTTTTGATTCAGCTCATTATGGAAAACATCCCAACTGTAAAATGCAAAATTATTGGTTGGTATGAAGAAAGCCAGACAACTTCTGTTTCTTCTCTTGGTGAAATAATAAAAATGCAAATGAATCATTGTTAACCACAGCTGTGGCTCGTTTGAGGGATTGGGGTGGACTTGGGGTTTATTTTCAGTAACCCAGCTGCAATACCTGTCTGTAATACTAGAAAAAAAATCTATTTAATCATTTCTACTTGCAGTACTGCTATGTGCTAAGCTTAACTGGAAGCTTTGGAATGGGCATAAATTGTATGTCCTACATTTCATCCTTGTCCTGGGCCTGCATTGCACTGGAAAAATAAATCGCCACCTGTTCTTATACCAGTATTTGGTTCAAGATGCCAAATGTTTTCAGCCCATGGCTGAAGAAGGATGGAAAAGAGTCAGGATAAAATGCATACTGAGGGCAGTAACGTGAGGAAGAGAGGGAGATCCAGGGGAAGAGGGTGTTGTCATGTTCCACTCTCTGTGTTAAATCTCTTTACAGCAAATTGGTAAGATTTTTAAGTTTTACTTTTAACTGTTTTTGCTGTCTACCTTCCTTACATTTTTTTTCCTCAACAGTTTTAAAAGGGAAAAAAAAAAGTATTTTTCTTTCTCCTATACTGGGGCTACGTTTTTTGATTGTAAAAATATTTGATGGCCTTTTGATGAATGTCTTCCACAGTGAATAAGAAAACTTAGTGGCTTAATTTAGGAAACATGTTAACAAGACACTATGTTTTTGAAATTGTAACAAAATCGACATAAGTGATATACAGGTACAAAGAATAAAAATAAAGGTAACTTTACCTTTCTTAAATACTTCCTGCCTTAAAGAGAGCATTTCCATGACTAGCTGGTGAAAGGGTTTAATATCTGCAGAGCTTTATAAAAATACATTTCAGTGCATACTGGTATATAATAGATGATCATGCAGTTGCAGTTGAGTCTTACCACCTCTTTTTGTTTTTTATAATGTCTTCAGTCTGAGTGTGCAAAGTCAGTTTGTAATATTTTGCAACCCTACAATTTTTTTAAATAGATGCTGCTTGCTGTGTTCTTCAAACCTTTTTGAGCCATAGGATCCAAGCCATAAGATTCTTTATGCATGTTGAATTCAGTCAGAAAAGAGTAAAGCTTTGCTTATTTAAATGGCAATTCGAGTGAGATAAGATGAAATCCTATGACGTTAGGCAAAATAGAACCATGAAGAATGATTGGAAATACACCTTTTCAATTGTGGCAATAAATGAAAGAATTGGTAACAGTTCATCTGTGGACAGAAAGCCTTTTTTTTTTTAATCACTTCCTCTAGACTCCCTCCTCCCTCATTGCAGCAACCTACTGAGAACTTTATAACTGTAGCTAGTAAATTAGAAGCTACAGTAATGAAAAGGGCAGAAATTGTACTTAGAGTGCAGATCTTCATTCTCTGACAATTTATAATGTCTGAAAAAACAGAACCCAAAAGCTATGGTGATAGGTACAGGCTTTATTTCAGACTGTAAATGGCTTGTGCTACTCATACTTGGTTGCAAATGTGTTTACTAACTGTAGTGTTGATTGCCTAACCAAATTCCAGAGAAATTTGTACACCGAAATAGTCCTCCTCAGTCCTATTTACTAGTAATATCTGCACTGTGATTGGCTGGCTCTAACCGCCCCATAAACTATTTTCATAATTAGTACTACCAGCAGTAGTGGCACACACTGCAACTTTTCTGCATAAAAAGTATTAATTGCATACCTACCATCCATACAAATAGTTTTTCAAACTTAACATTGAGTGAAATTAATTTCCTATGCTGTGGCAAGTTTACGGAGAAATTGTGTTTCATAAATGGATATCCCTACTATGACTGTGAAAACATGTCAAGTGCCACTTTAGTGTCACAGACAGAAAGCACACACCTATGCAATATGGCTTACCCTATATTTATTTGTAAAAATCCAAGCATAGTTTAAAATATATGATGTCAATATTACTAGTCTTAAGTTTCTTAAGAGGATTCTTTATGATTATTCCAGGTAAGTATATAAAAGAGATTAAGTGCTTTTCTTTCATCACTTATTTTCTTTAAAATCAGCTATTACAGGATATTTTTTTACTTTATACATGTTGTTTTTTAATTAAAATATAATCACTGAGAATTGAAGTTTACTAATTTTGATTTTATAAGGTTTGTAGCATTACAGAATAAACTGGGATTTATAAACCAGCTGTGATTAACAATGTAAAGAATTACTGAACTTGAACCAGATTTTTAGGAAAATTGTGTTATTTCTTTTTCCCCTTTATGGTCTCACCTAATTTGAATCCTTCAAGAAGAATTTTTCCATACTATTTTTGAGATAGAAGATAATTGGGGGGTGGGGGGTAAGAATGCATGTATGATACTCCATAAATTCAACATTCTTTAATAAATGATTATAAACAAGATGCATCTTCAAGAGTATTAATATATTGAGCCTTGGATTTTGTGTTTAATACAGGACCTAACTATTTTGGTTACTCAGTCATATGGTTCCTAGCTTACAAGGGTTAGATCTTAAGATTATTCCCATGAGAAATGTTGAATTTATGAAGAGTGGATTTTTGAGGTTTTGAAAATGGTTAATTTCTCAAATAAAAACATCAGTGTCCAAACATCTACCCTTTTTCATAGGAGTAGACACAGCAAGCTGGACAAAACAATCATAAAAGTACCTGTCACACCATGACCTGTGGTCTGTTGCTGATCGATAAAAAGCTTTTCTTGTGTGATTCTTAATTTATCACTACAGCACAAGTATTATCTCAGTGGATTATCTGAAGTAACATCTGAAAGATGGGTTCATCTGTGTTTGCTCTTTAAGCTATTATTTTTTTTTCCTATCCCAAGTTGGCTTTGCATCTATCAGAGTAAATAAATTCTTCAGCTGCCTTATTAGGAGTGCTATGAGGGTAACACATTTTTCTGCTTTTCATCTTGTATTTAGTTTACTGTACTAAGTATTTTGATTTCGGATTGAATGAATGTAAATAGAAATTAAATGGAAATTTGAATGAACATAAAATAGAAGTGATTTTTTTTTATTATTCTAAGATAGGAAGAAATAACAATCAGGTGCACAAATGGTTTCAATAATTTTTTTGCGCTAACATACCAGGTATGTTCAGGTTCTCATATTTAATAAACTGCTTATATATGTGAGGACTGACAGTTGTAAAACTGTTTCTGCTGAGCAATTTAAGCTACTTAAATATATAACAAGTTTTAGAACTATTATATATTAGATGTTACACACTTGTAATTTCTAAGTTCTGTCCAGTAGTTGAATTGGTTGCTTAAAAAAAACTCATGTGAAAAATAACTTCACATAGATACACTAGGAGGACTTTCTTGTGGTAACAATCAACAGTTTGTTCAGCCACACTTGTCAACTACACTTGGTTACTGGATGTGTATGTACTACATAATGTAGTGCATAAATCTGTTTTTAACTAATGTCTCAATATATCTAGTGTAAGATGGGTGTTTAGTATAAGCCACTTACTTGAGGTTAATTCTGTCACACTTGGATGATTTCTGTATAGAAGTTCTCAAACTGACTTTTTTATAAAACATGATTGTGGCTTTTAGTGCTGATAAAACAGTCTTTCAGAGGGTGTGATCTGAATTCACAGAATAAATGGGTTTTTGAATCCCTGTTCCCATTTTTGAGGTGAAATAGAGAAATGCTTCCAGTTCATCAGTGTTGTTGGTGGATGGCATAGCTCTCCTATTACATTCCCCTCCCTTTAAATTCATATGTGAACTGCTTTCTTGTTCATTAAAAACAAAAACCCAACTGTCTATCATGGACCTCCTTTTTTATTAAATCATATTAAGAAACAACACTATCCATATAGCCATAGGGTAAGAAAAGTAGGTATTGTAATAGGGCTTACCCATGTAGTAAGGCTACTCTTGTATTGGTAATAGGAAGTCAGCACAGCTATTTTTCACACTCAAATTCTAATCCCAAACTGCCTTTCTCACCCATCTCCTGCTGTACACCTACATAACTGTTTGCTTCATCACAGTCAAGAAGGTGAGTTAAGGCCAAGTAAGCTTGTTTCAGTATTTGCAGCTGTTCTCAAAGTAGGTAATAGTTAAATTTAAATATATTATCACTGAATAGCAACAGTTGTACTTATAACCTGGCAGTTAACGTAGGAAAAATAGTTACAGGCTTTCTAGTATTTTTTTTCCCCAAGATTTTATTTAGTTATTTGACAGAGCCAGAGAGCACAGTGGGGAAACAGTAGAGGGAGTGGGAGAAGCAGGGTCCCCGCTGAGCAGGGAGCCCGATGCAGGGCTTGGATCCCAGGACTGTGGGATCATGACCTGAGCCGAAGGCAGCCATTGAAGCGACTGAGCCACGCAGGTGCCCTGCTTTCTAATATTCTTTTGTCAATTTGGGTGGCTATACAGGCATGAAAAGGACTTAATCTGTAGCTGGTTGGTCACTGTCATTTATCCATATGCTGGTTTAGACTTTGTCTTAATACTGCAAATTTATTTTCTACCTCCCAACTTTTCCTTTCCACTATCTTTTCCTTGTGTGCAAACTGATTAATGGTAATAGAGGAAATGGGCAGAAACTTCTACTCTAGATATAACCAGCCCTTCATACTTCTGTTAAAGATGTGATTCTGCCTTACAGGTTTCGTGGGGAGAGAGAAATTGCCTCATTGCCTTTTCTATCACACTGCACAAATACCTAGAGGCAAACAAACTACACTAAGGCTTTTCCTGGAAGCTGAGTGCAAGCTTTATCTCCCAAGTAACGATGACTCAAGTGTAAGATTCCAAAACTTTTTGGAGAAGACTTTATAAGATTGAGTAGGTCTCCTTTATCACCCTATTCAAATCATCAGTGAAGCCAGCTGTTTGTAATCCATGTGATTATTTTAATAGTTTAAGATAGTTCATGGCACTATACAAAAAGCAAGATCATGTACATTAAAGCTGATGGCAGGATTGTATGTATGAGGTCCACAAACTATTTAAATCATCTCATCTGATTGCTAAGCATACTACAGAGAATACAGTATTAAAATATATCATCCTCAGTAAATTAATCTGCACTTAGAAAATCTGATTGTTTACAGATAAAAAATAGCTTTTAGAACTTCCATTTAAAAATACAAACTTTGAAAATGTTAAGAATTTTTAGACTGGGAATTACAAAAGTCAATGCTAAAGAAAATTCTTTCAGATAATGTGTATCTTAAAATATTATGAAAAATATTCTTTATTCTGAAAACAATGTCAGGAAAAGAATACCTGAGTTCCTCTAAAACCACTAGTTTTAGTTACCCAATTGCCATTTTGGTAACATTAATGAGAAAACATTCACAATTTAACACTGCAACCCTATCAAATAATTAGGACGGAATAAATGTGCCATATGCATCAGGCTGAACATTACTTATATATTTCTTAAAACATAAGGTTCTTTCATTTAATCTTTTGATAAACTAGACTACACATGTCTTACTATAATAATCTAAAACCATTTGGAAACATTTTCCTTAACTTCTAGTCCTGAAAACCCATTCTAATGTCTTTATCAATAGTCAGTGTAACCAAATAAAATTAATGTTTTGTGGCCTTCATAGTTTGTACAACTTAGTATATTTGAAGGTGGGATGAAGTAGCTCCATCTTTCCATTTATTTATATGGTCTGAGATCACAGTTCGGCACAGTGGACATGTTTTCTCTCTGTTAAACCATAAGGTAATGCATTCTTCACAAAATGTATGCTGTAAGGGAATTAAAAATTAGGCTTTATACTTGATAACATTTTAATTTTAAAATCATCACACTGCAGAGAATCATACTCTAGAGCTGAAAGGCATTTTGGAGAGCAGTAATCCTTCATTTTACAAATAAGAAAACAAATATGACATTCAAGAACACAAAGCAGTGTCAGTAGTAGAGACACTAGTGTTCTTTTGACTGTTCATTTAACGACTTTTAATAAATATAAGCTATATATAATATATATATATATATAAGCTATCCCTAGACAATAACTTTAAGTATAATGACTTAACAGCTTAATAAAGTCTTGGTGAGTAACTACCATAAAGTATAGGAAAGGGCCTTACATACATTTCTCTGCATACAAGTCATTACAACATAAGGGACAAGATTTAGCTAATGTATCAAACCCCTGATTACAGGTAAGAAATAACTAGTATGTGGCCTGAATGCTACTTGAGGCTAACCATTGTAGATTTTTTCCTTTCAACTAATATAAATATGACTTGGGACTCAGAGAAGTGCTGTATTTGGTATGCTTAAAAAATACACTTACCTGACAGATGAGCAGAATTGGTTTTTGAAATTCAGCTTGACATATTGAACAAATGTCCACATCTGAACACTGTCTCTTGCTGGCAGCCACTCCATAACTCTATGAAGATAAAAAGTTCTGTTCATCAACAAATCTTTCTCTCCCTGTTACTCAAATACGTAGGTGATGCTGTATTTCTCAAATCTCCCTGGAACTAGGCATTTGAAAACTCTCCTGAAGGACACAAATATTTCAAAGCTGAACTGTGTATGCAGAACCATATCTTGATGGACTGCATGCATCCAGATGAACTCATCAGATACGTAACAGGATCTTGGAAGATTGTTAGATTCACTGACTTCCCAAATAATGATAGTGCTACAAATTCAACTGGCTTAAGAGACTAAGCAATCTGAAATAGCACTATTATAAAATCTATATTCATGTATTATGTGACCTGGTATTACCCAATAGCTCACTTATTACCTATGGCATTGGTTCAAAACAGTCCATTCAAAGCTTGGCTGGCTGAATGTAACTCATGTAGAGATAGCTTTAAAAATAGATTTCTGTGCTCCACATTGGAGATTGATTCAATAGGTCCAGACATACTGGGATGTGACCCAGGAATCTAATTTTTGAAAGCTCTCTAACTGAACTGAATATGAAGAAGGTTTGGGGACCACTGAACAGTGTCCTGTTACTCAATCTAAAAATAATCTGACTGTCATCCTTAATTATCACAAAAGTCAGAGAACACTTAGTACTAGGAAAAAATAAAATTTTACAAAAGAACTGAAATTGCAAAATGTCATGGGTAGAGTTATACTGTCAAAACAGACTGAACGGTAACACAATTCTTTGAATTTCCTTTTCTCCTAAAGTCCTTAAAGTTTTTGATCTCTTTTAACTTCATCACCAAATTCAGTAGACCATAGTCATTAACTAGACATGACAAAATGTTGCCAATGAGATCACCTTTTTGTAGAAATGATGGGGAAAATGTGGCTGAAGAGAAGTAAGAATACCCAAGTTCAGTTATGGTAATGAGAGCAAAGCATGACCTGACTCAACCTGAGGCTATGATCTAAACTTATTTTACTAAATACTGAGTTAATAAAATCAAACGAAGACTCAAAGGATAAAAATATTTAAAAATAAGATTTTTTTTTTAAGTCTGGTAATGTTCAAGATTCCAGAAATAAACTGGGATACTGATGGATGATCTTGCCAATTTTCCTTCATTAAAATGTCATTTAGCAGAGTGTACTGCAGATACATAAGCATAAGCTGACAAACTTTTAAAATAGCACTCCTGGGGGTGCCTGGGTGGTATAGTCAGTTAAGCTTCAGACTCTTGGTTTTGGCTCAGGTTGTGATCTCAGGGTCATGAGACTGAGCCCTGCCTTGGGGGCTAGAGCACAGATGCTTGAGATTCTCTCTCCCTCTGCACCTCCCACTCTCTTTCTCTCTCAAATAAATAAATAAATCTTAAAGAAAAAAAATAGCACTCCTGTCTGGCATTTTGCAGACTCCCTTCAGGTGAAGACTTATTTTGATGGTGATTGCCATTTCCCTGGCAAAGTTAAGGAATATGTGTATACATGTATTCATGAGAGACTCACAAAGAGTATCAAAGACTGATTTCTCTTTATGCCTCACAGAGAATGAATATCAAAGTATTTCAGCACAAGCCTTACTAAATTACAGTAAAATGGCTGATACTCATATAATCAACTGAATAAACTTCATCAAAGCAGAACTCTCAATTTTAATGTACCCGTCTAAAGAAAGAAATCTGAATAGGATGCAGCAAAACTTGTTATCCAATTAGTAATTCTCGGGGCACCTAGCTGGCTCAGTTGGTAGAGCATGTGACTCTTGATCTCGGGGTCGTGAGTTCAAGCCCCACATTGGGCACAGAGCTTACTTTAAAAAAGTAAAAGATTACTAGCTCTACAATTAGCCAAAGAGTGTCCACATCTGAGTACTGACAACCTTTGAGGCTACTAAATAGCAAATGAGCCTTTCTCTGCAGTGTGTAACATCAGTGGAATCACATAATAATCAAGTTTATAACTGACAATGGAGTCTCAATTTATTGTTAAATTCCATGCTGTGAACTTATTGTGTATACAGAACTGACTTGGTGGGGAAATTTTTCCAGTAAGAAAATTTCAAGGGACATTTTGGGTAATGAGCATTTCTCATACACACAATACATTATAATGAGAGCATTTTTATAGGAGCTAAAGAGTTAATGGAAGTACACAAAACCACCATTTGTGAAAAACATTTTTTAAAGATTTATGTATTTTTAGAGAGCATGTGTGAGCAAGGGGTGCTGAGGGGGAAGGGACAGAGGGAGAGGGAGAGAATCTTAAGCAGACTCCCTGCGGAAAGCGGAGCCCGACATGGGGTTGTGAGATTCAGGACCTGAGCTGAAACCAAGAGTCAGATGTTCAACCGACTGTGCCACCCAGACGCCCCATGTGAATTTTTAAAAAAAGGAAGTACAAAAGTTCATGACAAGATTTTTAAGGGAATGTATATAAACCCTTATGTCAAGTGATCTGAAGTGGCACATTCAAAAATATAAGCACCATATCAACTATCAGGTGGTTGTCAACATTCAAGTCAAGAAACTGATCAGAGAAATAAAACTGAAATTATCATCAAAGCCCCATGTGCCAAAGTACTAAAAAAGCATGTAATTATGAAATCCACACTTTTTTTTTTTTTTTTAAGCAAGCTCTATGCCCAATGTGGGGCTTGAATTCACTACCCAAAATCAAGAGTCACATGCTCTACCAACTAAGCCAGCCAGGCTCCCTATGAAATCCATACTTGTAAAATTTATGAACTAAAACATTTTTATAATGAAGAAAGGTAAAGTTTTTTTTTTTTAACTGATAAAAAGTACTTACTGGTCGTGTAAAAAATATTCGTAAAACCCGTCGGAAAGTTCTCAGATGTCCAAAAAAGTCCAAAAGCTGAAAGAGGAAATAAGAGAATTTTTTAATTCAAAGAGCCCTGTTAAACCCAGAGATACAAGCTAAAATCCCATAATATCAAATACTGATATTAACTTAATGCTTATTGCATATTCATTTCATTCTAAATATATTTAAAATCCAATTATGGAATATTTTACTCAATTTATAGACTTAAGCCAACTTTTTCTTTAAGATTTTATTTGAGAGGGAGAATGAGTAGGGGGGAGGGGCAAAGGGGGAGGGGCAAAGGGAGAGGGAGAAGCAGACTCCCCTGCTGAGCAGGGAGCCCGACGTGGGGCTTGATCCCAGGACCCCGGGATCATGGCCTGAGCCACCCAGGCACCCCATGTTACCTACTTTTAGTATGAGGTAGAGTAAAGCCAGCAATATCCCAAGACTCCGTCTAGTTACATTACCAAACTCCCCATAGCTTATAAGGTAACGAAACCAAACTGGTATGGGAACAAAAGTTCGGTAATACTGACATGATTCTTCTAAAAGCATGTACCAGTAACCCTAAAAACGAAGGAAAAAGAAAACAGCTACACAAGCTACTTATATACATAACACAAATATTTCATATTGGACTGAAATAATCATGAGCATATGGCACAATAACTATAAAATTAATCTTCATAATGATAATGGTTATGATTGACAATCTCAACCTTGTTTTCACAATTTCTAAAGATTTCTAAAGAATGAAAATTTATGTATACTAAATTAAAACATTTTTGCTGATTATAAAAATTTATATTAAAGTTTTTACTGAATATGGGAAAAACACTGAATATAGTCAGTTATCAATTATTAATTGATAAAGCCCTGGAGGAGAACAGAAGTACAAATCTAAATTTTATTTTTCTATATGTGATGTGGGGACTGATTAGATTATTCTGAAGCAAATATAATTCTGATTTTATTGGACTAGATTAATATTTGGGTTCAAGTCTTTGAGCAGTGGTTGCCAGGCTGAAGTGATACAGATAAATTAGGTTATTTAGGAAACTGAAAAGTTATAAAAGAGTTATTTCAACAAAGACTAAATAGCATTAATGTGGTTTTGCTAACATTTTTTCAATAAACAAAGTTAGTTTCTTACCTTGGATTTAAAAGGCATGATGAAAGAAGGCATCAACAAAATAAGGCATTTTAAGCCCATGAAGAGGAATTTCAGAATGAAGTCTGTAATTCCAACAATCCAAAGTACTTCCCAGAAGCTTGAATTGTCCAAAGTAGGATTTAAGAAAATTAAGCTACCAAGAGAAAAATGTCAAAACTTAACCAGAGCATCATACAAAGGTCAAGTTTGATAAGGGTTTTAAATTTACTACCAAATATTTTACTTTAATTTGATGTGTAAAAAATGTGAGTTTGGCAATATGTTAGAGTTCATGTAATAAATAGAATGGAAAATCATTTTGCTTATTTTAAAGAGACTTTTCAAATGTTTCAAATACCACTCAGATTGCATTTTGCATATAATGCAAAATAAATTTAAAGTTTAAATTTCAAATCTTTCCTCCATAGAATAAAGAAAAACAAGTCTTCCCAGCATGCCATGGTTGGAAAGCTAGCCTGTAATCTAAAAAATTCACTCCAATCAAGGTTCCGTTCCCTCCTTTCCACTGAATTGCTTTTGTCACGATCACCAGTTCCTTCCGTCTTGCTGAATTCAAAGGTCACTTCTTGTTTTCCATCTTTCCTCCCTGAATTACTTCTTCCTAGACTTCTAACATCACACTCTTCTAGTTTTCATTATGTGATTGATGGTTCCTTAAATCTCCTTTGCTGCTCCTCCTCTAATCGTAGGCATGTCCAGTCCTGCCCCCTCTCCTGTCTATACTTTTTTTTCCCTCAGTCTTGGTGAGTTCCATAGTTTTTAGATACCAACTGTATGCTGGATAACACCAAAATTTATAGCCCTAACCTTAATTCTAAGCTAATGACATACAGCTATAATCACTTTAACAGTTCTACATGATCTCACCAACTTAACATGTTCAAAGTAAAACTACTTATTTTCCCACCAAAACCAGTTCCTTCCCCAGTCTTTCCCAGCCCATAAATGGCATCACCATCCAGCCAGTTGCTGAGACTAAATCCTAGGTGTCATCTTTGATTCTTACCCCCTACCTACCCACCCAATGCAATCTGAATGGTATTGGTTCCCCCTACAAAGTATATCCCAGACTGTCCACATCTCTCTAGCTCTACTGAAGCCAAAAGCCAAAAATTCAAAACACTTCCATCTGACATGGAAACTTAAGTACTGTCATTTAGTAAGTCTTCTCCTTGCTTCTAAAAACAGATCATGTGTTCTCACCACACACACATAACTAAGGGAGGTGATGGATATGTTAATTAGCTTGATTGTGTAATCATTTCATAATGTATACATATATCAAAACATCATGTTATATATATTAAGTATATACAATTTTTGTCAAAAATAAAAATTTAAAAAGACCACCACCAAAAACCTAATGGTATTCAAAATTATTGATTATATAAGTAAAAATTTAAGTATCAAAAATTAAATACTACCTGCCATGAGCCAAGGCACTGATATACAAATCTGAGTAAGTCACTTAGACCTATTAATCTTGGAAGGAGAGGAACAGGTAAAAACTGAACTCTAACAATAATTATGTGCAAGTTAAAATATATGCAAAGTGCTATGAAATAAATGATTACATAAAAAATGTGATTGTGTATTTGGACCTCAAATTACCTGTAATAAAGTGACTGAGAATGAAAGGTGTAATATAAAAGAACAGATGATCCTGCTAAGAATACCAGTAACCAAGCACACTGAATCTTTGAGCACCTTTCCTGAAAAATAAACAATTTTATGATTTGTTACTATGAATTATGCCAGAATTATAAATAACATTAAACTATTTTATTTAATGACTAATTTATTAACACATTTTAACAGACTAATCTTAATAAAAATATATTAAATTGTACATCATCACACTCTATCTTTAGTGAACAAAACAGAACTCATATTTAAACAAATTCTTCAAAATACAAGTTTCTTCACTGTATTAAAACATTACCCACGTTACCCAGGCTTCAAAGAAGCCCAATCTTCTACAAGCTGACATAAAGGACCCGTCCAAGTACAAACTTTACCTATTTTTGCCTCCCTGACAAAACAGAACTTTAAAAATGCATTTATTAGGATTTGTTAAGTATAATTTTTAGAATTTTCAAACAATTCAGTAAGATTTTAACAAGGTGATTTGTTATTAATGTCACTTAAATTTTTTTTAAGATTGATTTTATTTATTTGACAGAGAGAGCAAGACAGCACAAGCAGGGGGAGCAGCAGAGTGAAAGGGAGAAGCAGGCTCCCCGCTTCTCAGGATCATGACTTGAGCTGAAGGCAGACAGACGCTTAACCGACTGAGCCACCCAGGTGCCCCTCACTTAAATTTTTTAAAAAGATTTTATTTATTTATTTGAGAGAGAGAGCATGCATGGGGTAGGGGTAGGGGGAGTGGAGAGGGATAAGCAGCAGACTGCCCACTGAGTGCAGAGTTTGACAGAGGCTTGGTCTCACAAGAACCTGAGCCGAAATCAAGAGTAGGACGCTTAATCGATTGAGCCACCCAGGCGCCCCTTAAAATTGTTTTAATTACTAGTTTAATTAAAAGTTTTAGGGGGGCCTGGGTGACTCAGTCAGTTGAGCATCTGCCTTCGGCTCGGGTCATGATCCCCGGGTCCTGGGATTGAGCCCTGCATCGGGCTCCCTGCTCCGAGGGAAGCCTTCTTCTCTGTCTCACACTCCCCCCCCCCCCTTGTGTTCTCTCTCTCGCTGTCTCTGTCAAATAAATAAAATCTATAAAAGTTTTACCTATTTTAAACCCTGAATTACATTTTTATGGTTTGATAGGTTCTAAGTACAAATATCCAGGTCAGAATGCATGATCCTTTACACAGGTATCACCCTTTAAAGTTGCTTGAAGGTGAAATTTTATAAACTAATCCTATTTCCTCCAATAATTTATATGACTAATAATTTATAATTTGTGTTATGAAAAAACTATTGGGTTCAATTTTTCTTAAGAGAGACCTAAATAGTTTAATACCTATTCGATGTACATTTTATTTAACTATTTTAAATTTTATAGGGCAACAGCTAAAGTTTTTAATGATATTATATTACCTAGTTTGGTCAAATTACTCAAAATATGAAGGCACTTGACAAATCAGATCAAATAGTGAATTCTAAATCTTTTAATACTATCGAGCTTTTCTATCAGGGACTCAACATACAAAGAAAATAAAGTGAAACAATTTAGCATTAGGACAGATCATTTAGATAACAAAATTTAATGTATCGTGGATGCTATAACATGTCTATTTAAATTTGTCAAGAAAACGATCTTAATTCCTATTTCTCTCAAAAGTGAGTATATAATTAATTCTACAGACACATTTAATGGTTTTTTTAGTTACTTGTTATACTTACTCTTAGAAAAACCTGATTTACAATGCTTTTGTTTGCATACATAAAAGTTGTAAGCAGCCCAATTCCAAGAGAAATTCCTGTTAGGAGATAAGTTCCAGTTAATTGAAAGGAAAAAAAAAATCCAAGAGCTAACACAATGACATGAATTTAAAGGAAACATGTACAATTTTAAAAGCTAACAAAATACAAAGGTTCAGGTAGATTACCAGTAAAGAAATAAAATTAACTGACAATGAAACAATTCAATGTTTTATTATACCCTACCTGTTATATGCTGCATAACAAGTTTGACACCCAGAATCAAAATATATGGAAGACTTTTGTGCAACCACTTGAAGAGAGAGCGGAATTCTGAGAAGGAGCTGCTACCATGATCTCCAGACTCTGTGGCACTATCATCAGGCTGCCTTGCTTCATTCTGAGAGTGACTCCGGAATCGACTATGTATACATCCATGGGTACAGCTATGGACACCTGACCTTGTATTTCTGGAGGTTGGATTTTCAGCATATTCTTTAGGTATGGAGTTTATCTGGATATGAACATCTCCAGAATGAAGACAAGAACCTTCTCCTGTCAATTTTGTATGGACACATTGGGTGGCTGAGGCATCCTCATTGCCTACAGCTCCTGGAGGGCTGTGCAGTTGGCTACAGTTGGCTTGCATGACCCTTGAATACTTTTTCTGTGATCCAGATTTCTTTGCTTCAGGGCTCTATCTCCTAAAAATCAAAGAGCAGAAAATATTCTAAGTGAACAGTTAAATACGGATAATATACTGCTCAGTAGGAATCCTTTATTCATTACAGTAGAGGCCAATAGTCATAGTTGATGAATTATCTTCAGATTATCTATCACTTGTTACTAGACTCCTCCCCCTTCCCTTAATGCCAAGGCTCTGCTGCTGTACCCAAACTATTTTTTAGGGAACATCTGCTACAAAAAAAATTTAGTTTCAGATGCCCTCTTCTCTAAATACAGAAGGAAAGAGCAAAACTGTCAAAGTATGAGTGCCCAGCACATGTTAATAATGTACCAATACTTATTCATACTTGAATACATCAGTATATTTACTCTGCCCAACTGGAGCAGTTTCATCTCTGATGGAGATTCTACATTTCATAAAAGTGAGACAGTATTTTTTAATGCTTTTAGAAAGGCTAGGAAGAAAAAAAAACATTAAATCTTAATGCCTTTTAAAGTATCATGCAAAACTAATAATAAACATTTCACTTAGGGGACCTACAAATTTCGTTTTATGCTGAAATAGCTTTCCCAAGGCTGAAAAGATTTCTAATAACTACTTCCAAGAGTATCACCTTCCCCCACAAAAGAATACTACCCAAATACCTTTAAAATAGGGAGACTTAGGGAGTCGCCATGTAATTGCTAGGTAACTCTCTAGTCTGAGTAAGGATAGTTATATGGTCTGCCCATTAAAAATGCCATCATCTTTGGGGAGGTGGGGGGTGGGAAGGGCAAAAGACACTGGCAGGGAAGGATCCCTAAATGGCCAGTGTGGGCAGCCTTGGAAGATGCCAGAGCCTTATCCCAGTCGGCCCGTAAGAGGAAGCTAGGGTTAACGTCAGGGTATGTTCTGTCATTCCCTTTCATTTCAAAGTTTGAATTTTTTTTTTTTCCAGTTACTGTACGGCGGTGTGGTTTTTAGTGCCTTTCACTAAAGGCTTTCACCGATGCTCCGACGCCACAGGGGCTATTTATTCCCTCAAACCTCCGAAGACCAACGTTGGACGGGACAGTCTCTGCCTTTTTCCATATGTAACGTAGAACCTTCCCACTTTCCTCCAAGCACAAGCAAGAAAGGGGACGAGAAATTTAAGAAAAGCAAACGCACACAACTCTTCCGGAATCCCCTGGACTGAGTTTTCCATCTACGTTCGAGCTCCGAGTGCCTCACTTATTCCCCCCACACCCCCACCCCCATCCCCAGACACCATTCGCCGCGGCCCCTCGCCTCTGCCCGCTTCCCCCAGGCCTGACCTCTCATGACGATGAGTGAACGGAGGCCCCGGCAGCGACTGCAGCAACAGCGGGAGACCCCGGCTCGAGGCCTTCAGTCAAGGCCATCACCTTAAATCCCCACTACCGGCAACTCCGGCCCAGCTCCGTGGCGGGGGCGGGGGCGGCGGCGGCGGCGGCGGCGGCGGCGGCGGCGCGCTCGCTCCCCGGACGTCCTCACGCGCGCGTGCGCTGCCCGCCGCGTTCCCGCCCCCGCGCAACGCGCGGAGGGACGGGCTGCGCCGGGGGAGCCAGGCGGGCGTGAGGCCGTCTGGGGGTGGTGGCTGTGGAGAGGAGGGGGCTGCGCCTGAGGATCGCCTGCAGGCGTCTGCACTAAACAATAAGCAGCCGTCACCTAAGTGCGTATATACGTGTAATCCGCTACACGCCTCAGAGATCTGGATGTTTTGAGGTTAAAAATGTTTTGGCTTTAGGAACCTGCCCTCGGAGGAGAGGCCTGATGTTGGGGGTTGTCTTAGGGCCCGCCCCGGCTCGTCCCGCAGGATCCTGGCGCCTGCCCTGGGTAGGCTGCCCACCACCCTGCTTGTATCCCCGTCTCCTGGGACCCGAGTTAGAGAAGCCACGTCAGCGAGGGGCTCGGCGCGTCTCTAGAAGAGTGGGGCGGAGCGAGAACGTTCGGGTTTTGGCGTTGGCGTTTCTCGAGCTTAAACCCCTGACCGAGTTGTGGCTGGGTGGTGAAGTTTTAACTGAAATGGCTTTTCGTTATGATTCTAAAGTTGCACCGTGTGAGCTAGGCCCTGCCAAAACTTAAGGGAGGAGAAGCAAAGAGAAGTCGGAGAGAGATTTGGTGGCGGTGGAAGTAGAAGTTAATTTTAAAAACCCTGTCTTGTATATAGGGAACTCTGCTATCTTCGCTATAACTTCTAGAATGAAGCGTTTATTAAGAAAAATCTTAAACAAGGGCGCCTGGGTGGCTCGGTTGGTTGAGCGACTGCCTTCGGCTCAGGTCATGATCCTGGAGTCGGGAGATCGAGTCCCGCATCGGGCTCCCAGCTCGGCAGAGAGTCGGCTTCTCCCTCTGACCCTCCTCCATCTCATGCTCTCTATCATTCTCTCTCTCTATTAAAAAAACAACAAAAACCAAAAGAAACAAAACCCCCCTTTTAATCCCCGGCAAAAATATATTTTAAATGATAACTGTATTCCATGAATCTTCCCCTATCCCGCACAACTACCAAAAGCCTTTCCATTCTGAACTACAAACTTTTTACCTGTAATTTACAGAAATTGACGTCAAGTAAATAACTCTTAATAGTCTTCTTACAGTCTTACTTGGCAAGGGGTTTTCTTTCATTAGAGACAATAAATTTGCATGTATGTGCTATGAGTTGACTAGTGGAATGAGTGATACTTTGTCTTTTTATTGGTCATTACCTGACTTAGAACCATTCACAACTTTGCCCAGATTAGTTTGGTGGTGTGTACTTTCTGAGGCTTCTTAATCATGAAGTTGTTTGCACTGTATTTTCTCCTGTATCAGAGTACAACTGAGTACACCATTTAACCTCAGTTATCTGCTTTGAGGCTGTGCTTAAGTCAGATTAGTTTTTTTTTTTATTTTTTTTAAAGATTTAGTAATTTGACAGAGAGAGACACAGCAAGAGAGAGAACACAAGCAGGGGGAGTGGGAGAGGGAGAAGCAGGCTTCCTGCAGAGCAGGGAGCCCTATGTGGGGCTCGATCCCAGGACCCTGGGATCATAAATCAGATTTGTTCTATCACCAAACTATTTCCCTTGGTTAGAAAGACACTCTTCCCCCCCAACCCCCCAACTGGTATTAGATCTGCTTCACACTGTTGATTAAGATATTGGGCTTTTTATTTATTTTTTAATATTCATAGGTCTCCATGAGCTTAACATAAGTCTTGCTGACAAATTAGGTTTCTGGGTCAGTAAGGCTGTCTTAGTCCATTTGGGCTGCAAAGTTATAGACTAGGTAGCTCATAAACAACAAATTTATTTCTCACAGTTCAGGAGCCTAAGAAGTCTAACATCGAAGTGCTGGCAGATTTGGTGTCTGGTGAGTACCTGTTTCCTTGAATATCTGTTTCCTATTCTTGCTGTGTCCTCCTATGGTGGAAGGGTGGAGGGAACTCTTTGGAATCTCATTCATAAGGGCTCTGCCCTCAGGACCTAATCACCTGCCTCCAACTCCGAATACCATCACATTGGACGTTAGATGAATTTTGTAGGGGCACAAATGTTAGGACTGTAGCAAAGGCTGAGGGCCAGGCTCAGGACTGTAGTGAATTTTTCAAGGAGACGTACTTTTGTATATATCCTTTCATTCCATCTACAACATGGATATTTTTACTTTAAACTTTAAAAGGTATGATAATTTAGGGAAACAGAAAAAAGAGTCTCATGTAATCTAGCTATAGCTACAACGGGGCATCAGTCTGTTTTAGTACAGTAGGTATATTTAAAATTTAATTCATTTATGCATCTCACTGTAATGTTTAAATTCTTTAGCACATTCATAACACATTGTAGGTATATTAGGACATGTTGAAAGTTTACTAGTATACTTGGAACTGCATTCTACTCAAACAACTTGACTGAAAAGTAACATTTGAAGAAGAGTACTGAGTTGATGACAAGATTTGACAGTGACAGACTTATCTGATAAATTTTCTTTCCACTAGCATCTAGAATGTAGGAAATGGGCATTTTAATTGATTAATTCAAGCAGGATTTGCTGAGTACTTACTAAGTGTCAAGAATTGTACTAGAGGTTGGAGAGGTAGACATTAAAAAAAACACAGTCCTCTTCCCACAGTGACATAAGTGGTTAGACAAGTCTCCAAACAAATAATTGTAGTATACTGGAATAAAACTATAATTGAAGGTTGTATGAGATGCAATGGAAGCAAGAACTGAAGCATTTAACTTTGTTAGGAAGGAACTGCTTCATTATATTTGTGATATTTGAGCTGAATCTTGAAGAATATGTCAAAATTTGCCAGGACATAAGCAGTAAATGGACATTCCAGATAAAAACAATAATAGGTGGAAAGGCATGGTATTGAAATACAACAGCCCTTTGAAGTAATTAATTTTTTTTGTTTCTGAAAGAGTAGGGTGCATGTGAGGGAATAGTAAGTATGGGCTAGAAAATGAAAAATGTGGTCTTGGGAATTTATTCTATAGTTTATTCTAATGGCCAAAGGAAAGCTATTGAGTTTTAAGACAAGATTTGCATTTTCCAGAAGATTCACATACTGATAGCTTACAGTAATATAAGCTCAGGAGTTTATTACAAATAGTTGAAGTAGGAGATGAGAAGATCTTGAACTCCTCAGTAAAATGGGATTCATGAAATTGGAGGGCTTATAAGGAGATAAATAGGTTTAAGTGTGATAAATTGTTGCAGTTATGCCCCCCCTTCTCAAGCCAATAGGTCATGCCTACTTATATCCATACCCTTGGGTAGACCCCTCCCAGACTAACTCGTGACTTGCTTTGGCCATTGAGATAATAGCAGTTGCAATTTAGCAGAGACTTGAAAAATGTTTGCACGTTAGGATTTGCCCTTTTACAGCTGATAACCCTTCAGCCACCATGTAATCAAATCAGGCTTTGCCTCCTAGAAGATCAGAAACCACTTGGAGAGAGGCCCCAAGTGTCCCAACCATTTCAGCCTTCCCAGTTGAGGTCCCAGACATATGTGTGAGGTCATCCTAGCCCCAACTAAGATGGTTCAGACCAGAAGAATCAGCTAGTCAACCCATAGAATCACAGGAAATAATAAATATTTCCATTTAAACTTTCAGATTTGGAGCAGTTTGTTTCATAACAAAAGTTAACTGATACCCTAAGTGACCCAAGCAGATGTGGAGTGGGAAGAAGTCTAAGATGAATCTTTCTTTTGTAGCTTGGGCGGATGGATAAATCAATTTTGGAAAGCTATGAATAATAGAACAATTAAATTGGTGATATTACCAAAGATAATGGGAAATATATATATATATATATACATAGTTGTTGTTTTTTAAGATTTTACTTTTAAGTAATTTCTATACCCAGCATGGGACTTGAACTTACAACCCCAAGATCAAGAGTTGCATGTACCACCAACTGAGCCAGCCAGGTGCCCTGGAAATATATATTTTTACAGACCAAGTTTGGTGGGATAATAAATTCAGCTGTGGAAATAGAGTCTTAGGGGTTGACTTTTTGGGACATATAAGTGAAGATATCCAGTTGGCAGTTTGATATAAATATCTGGAGATCATAAATTTGGAGTAAAAACTATGGCTTCGAATGACATTGCCCATTTTTCATTAGTTTTGGGAGATTTTTGTAAATTCTTTGATACCTCGTACTTAGTGTTGTCTATCAATAGAGACAACCTCTTCCTTTCCAATCTGTATGCCTTTTTTTAAAAAAAAATTTTATTGTTATGTTAATCACCATACATCATTAGTTTTTTTTTAAGATTTTATTTATTTATTCATGAGAGAGAGAGAGAGAGAGAGAGAAGCAGAGGGAGAAGCAGGCTCCCCGCTGAGCAGGGAGCCCGATGCGGGACTCAATCCCAGGACTCTGGGATCATGACCTGAGCCGAAGGCAGACGCCTAACCATCTGAGCCACCCAGGCCGCCCCATCATTGTTTTTGATGTAGTGTTCCATGATTCATTGTGCATAACACCCAGTGCTCCACGCAGAACGTGCCCTCTTTAATACCCATCACCAGGCTAACCCATCCTCCCACTCCCTTCTCCTCTAGAACCCTCAATTTGTTTTTCAGAGTCCATCATCTCGCATGGTTCATCTTCCCCTCCCAATCTGTATGCCTTTTATTTTTTTATTGTGTTGGTTTGAATTGCCAGTACATGTTGAATAGGAGTGGTGAGAGTAGATGTCCTTGCCTTGTTCCTGTTTTAGGGAAAAAAACATTCAGTCTTTTATTATGTGTTACCTATAGTTTTTCTTTTGTAGATGTCATTTTTCAGGTTAAGTTCCTTTCTTAGATTACTAAGAGTTTTTATCATGAGTAGATAATTCTGTCAAATGCTTTTCCTGCCTATATGGAGAAATCATAGTTTTTCTTCTTTAGTCTATTAATATGGTGAATTATGTCAGTTAATTTTTAAATGTTGAATCAGCCTTGCATTTCCAGTATAAAACCCCTTGGGTTGTAGTATATTATCCTTTTCATATGTTGAATTTTATTTACTAATATTTTGTAGTGGATTTTGCATCTGTATTTATGGAAGATACTGCCTTTCTTATGATGTATTTATCTGGCTTTGGTAATAGGGTTGTGCCTCTGAATTGGAAATGTTTCCCCCTTTCTCTGCTTTCAAAAAAGATTATATAGAATTAGTATTTTTTCTTTCCTTTTTTTAAGATTTTATTTATTTATTCATGAGAGACAGAGAGAGGCAGAGGGAGAGGGAGAGGGAGAAGCAGGCTCCCCGCTGAGCAAAGAGCCAGATGCAGGAGTCGATCCCAGGACCCTGGGATCATGACCTGAGCCGAAGGCAGATGCTGAACAGCCTGAGCCACCCAGGCGCCTAGAATTAGTATTATTTCTTTATGATTTGGTAGATTTGCCAGTAAAGCCACTTGGCAAAGAAATTTCTTTATGGAGAGGTTTTAAACTACAGATTTAATTCCTTTAATGGATGTAGGATTATTCAGGTTATATATTTCTTCCTGAGTGAGCTTTGGTAATTTGTGCCTATGGATGAATTGGTATAAAGGTGTGTGTAATACTCTCTTAAATATCTGTAGTGTCTGTGATGATGTCACCTTCACATTCCTGATTTTGGTAATTTGTGTCTTTTTTTTTCATGTCAGTATGGCTAGAAGTTTATAGATTTTGTTAGTATGTTCCTTTTTTTTAAGATTTTATTTATTTATTTTAGAAAGAGAGTACCAGGGGAGACAGTGAAATGGGGGAGAGGGGTACAAGGGGAGGGAGAGGGAAAGAGAGAGAATCTCAAGCAGACTGCGTGCGAGCATGGAGCCTGACCCCACAGCCCTGAGATCATGACCTGAGCCGAAACTAAGTTGGATGCTTAACTGACTGAGCCACCCAGGCACCCCTGTTGGTATTTTCAATAAAATTGGTTTCTTTTATTTTGGTGTTATTTATTTTACTCTGTTGTTTCCCTATTTTTAATTTTACTGGTTCCTACTCTTTATTACTTCCCTTCTGTTTGCTTTGGATTTAATTTGCTCTTCCTTATGTGGTTTCTAAAGGTGTAAGTTTGTTTGTTTGTGTGTTTTTAAGTAGGCTCCATGCCCAAGGTGGCTTGAATTCATGATCCTGAGATTAAGAGGCTCATGCTTTACTGACTGAGCCAGCCAGGTGCCCCTCTAAAGGTGGAAGTTTCTTTTTTTTAAATTTTTTTTAAAGATTTTATTTATTTGAGAGAGAGAGAGCACGAGCTGGGAGGAGAGGCAGAGGGAGAAGGAAAAGCAGACTCCCCACTGAGCAGGGAACCCGATGGGGTTCGATCCCAGGACCCTGAGATCATGACCGGAGCAGAAGGCAGAGGCTTAACCAACTGAGTCACCCAGGGGCCCCTAAAGGTGGAAGTTTAGATCATTGATTTGAGATCTTATTTTTTCTAACATAGGCATGCGATTTTATGCATTTCTCTCTGAGCACTGCTTTGGCTGAGTCTAATACATTTTGATATGTTGTATTTTTATTTGAACTCAGTTCAGAATATTTTTTAACTTCCCTGTGACTTCTTATTTGACCCCTGGGTTATTTAGAAGTGTGTTAATTTCCAAATATTTATGACTTTTCTAAATATCTTTCTATTATTGGTTTCTCATTTAATTTTGATATATTCAGAGAACATACTTTCTGTGATTTCAATTCTTTAAAATTTGTATTATGATCTAGGGGTGCCTGGGTGGCTGAATCAGTTAAATGTCTACCTTCAGCTCAGGTCATGATCCCAGGGTCCCGGGATCAAGACCTGCATTGGACTCCCTGCTGAGCAGGAAGCCTGCATCTCCCTATCCCTCTGCCCCCACCCCAGCTCGTGCACTCTCTC